TATGTTAGTTTATATGTCTGCACTGGTACTCTGTCTACTCTCAGCCATTCTCTTTTCTTGGTAAAGCATGAAAGCATACAGATAGTACAATTTCTCTCTTCTGTAGTGTTCTGCCAGTAATGCAGGTCTACTCCTGGTCATCAATATTTTTCCTATTTACAGAAGACCATAAGATGAGACATGAATCCTCCCAGGATCCATAAGCTCAGATTCAGTATTGTTGGTCTGGGGCAGTATGGACACTGAGTCATCCTCACTGCTCCTGAGGAACATCTGACTCTTACAAACTCTTTTCCCCTTTCAAGCATTAATAAAGGTGGTGAGATACTTTGGACAACAGCACTTGAGGGAAATGCATTGCATTCATGCTTTGCAGACTTAATTTTTTTCCTTTACTCCTTTTCCTCATGCTCATGTCACACTACTGCTGTAGTAATAAACTAGACTCACTGTACATGTACAGTAGTCATGCCATCATGAGGCACTGTCCTGCAGCCTTTTCCCATCCCTGTCATTGTGAGAAATCCTTGACTGAGTAGCTTTGTGTTTAGACTATAAAAAAACAATCACACTTCTAAGGTGTTCACAGACATTTCTGCACCGTGTTTTTTTATCACAGCTCCTAGTTCAGAGAGTCAAGAAAATAACTTTCTTGAGACAGCCTCAGGAAAAGAATTGAAACTTCAAATGTTTTGTTCAGCTGATGGAAGTGAATATTTAACTTCAGAAGGATCCTTGAAAGTCAGGTGGTGTTGGTGTGCATGGTCTGTCCCTGGAAGTTCAGCAATAGATTTATGGTGTCTTGAGGGTCTTGCAACCCTGTCAAATCAATTTGTGTTACGTATATCTCTAGCTTTTGTGACTTCTTTGAGTCTTAAAAGGACTAGATTTCTTGCTGAAAGAGAGTTGAATAAAAGATCAAAGAAAACATGATAGCTTTAAAAGCCTGCTTTTTGTGTTGGTATGCGTTCAATTACTCTTTGATTCTTTGCCTTCCTCTTTTCCTTCTAAAATCCAGAGCAAAACCCCAACTAAATGTGTTGGATAAGACTTATGGTATGGAGACTTTGGGAGAGGGTGGGATTTGATCTCTAAGGAAGTTGGGTGTTGAGACCAATACTTTGGTACTGCTTTTGGAAACTAGAGTAATTGTTGCCATTTCATCACCAGTCTCATGACAGCATATTATGCAATACCGTATCTGCTCTTGTAGTATACATCCTTGGGCTAAATTTTCTGTACAGATGGAAACACTAAAACAAACAAAACTTTGAGATTTGGGATTATTTTCCTCTTAAATGTTTTTGTTACTTTCCATTTGTAAGTCTAGTTATTTGCTTTATGAGGAAGTGCTGAAATTTGAATTCATTAGAGCTTGAAAAGCTAAACATACTTGAAGTGAACAATGTTCTTAACTACTAATCAAGGGGGTTTAAATTTTTTTTGTTTGAACGTTTTTCTTGTCTTGCTTTTAAATTAGAAATAAAGACAACCTTCCTCTGGAAGTACTAGGTTACATCAGTGAAAAAGGGTTTACAGCAATCTCGTGCTTCTTTTGTTATTGTCATGAAAGAAAGCGTGACCACCTTCTTTACACAACAGTTTTGGGAAAACCAGTCTCTTTTTTTCTTCTTTTTTGATAGTGTTCTGGGGGGTTTGTTTCATTTAATGTGTGTCTATTTCTTCAAAATACAGCTGTTTTGGCTGCTTACTAGAGTTGCAGTGTCTCTACAAGGTCAAATATTAACTGCTGATGAGGGACGTCTGCACTGAGCCAGACCCTGACATAGAAACAGGAACATCTGCTTGTCTGAATATTTTTTTGATCTTTATTAAACAGATTTTAATTAAGAGTTGTCTTCCTCCCAGCCTCAAACCTTCTTTCCTCATTTGATCTGCAGTTAAAATGAAGTTAATCAGTTTGTGATATCCTACTCATTGCTATGACAACAGCCTGCCAAACAGACTTTAGTATGAGAAATTGGGGAAAGTAAGAAGCTGCTTTGTGAGCAAGGAAACATTCTTGTTCAGCCCTATCTTATTAATGAATAATATCCCACTTAGGGCTCAAAATTGTTGTCACTATGGTAACTTGAAGGCAGTGGCTATCTGCCTCACTTCTGCCTGCTGCTTTGGTACTCTAGCGAGTAGGTGTGGTAGGGTGTGAGGTCTCAGCCGGGCACAGTGAAGGCATGCCCGTGCCAGGGAGGTGCGGTGTTTCGCTGGTCAGTGCACCATCTGTAGAGGAGCAGGGCCCTTTGACTGCTCCTTGTGTGCCAGGAAGAGGCTCTCGCCTTCAGTGATTTTCTGCTTCGGACCTGTTCCCAAATTGTGCTGCTCATGGCTTGCATGGTCAGCCAGAAGAGGATCTTCTTTAAACATACAGTTTACTCTTCAGGTGGTTTGGCTTTGTTCCCACCAGTGGGCTGATTTTGCTGTGCTGCTTCTTCTCCCAGGGGTGTTTCAAATATTTGTGTGCCTGATTTTTTTCCTTAAAGTATCTTTTCATGCTGAAAATCAAACATGGCTTAAACAGCTGTGCTGCAGAGACACGGTAAAATACATGTTAGGAGAGGGAGAAAACACACAGTCCTCTTCAGGTACCCATAGGTTGCCTGGCTATCAGAAGTGTAGGTTATAGTTCAGCATGTGCTTTACAAACAAACAAAAACCTCTTTGTTTTAATGTGTGTGTACTGTTGTCATGTCCAAAACATGGATCATGGTATTTTTAGAAGCTTTGGTGAAATTAGAGAAAATAGGATTGAAATGTATGTCAAAATTCCTAGGTAGCAGAATCTGTGTTAACATGGTGTTAATTCAGAAATGATGAACAAATGGAGACCCAATGGGGTTATTTCTCACCATATCTTAAATCACAGTGGACTAATTCCAGACAATTGTATTTGAAATTATTAGCCTGTCTTTCAGAGAGGTTAGTGCTCTCTGTCAAGTTCTCTGTCTGGGGCTTTTTTTCATTGCTTATTATGCTAGGTTCAAATCGTGATGAACTGACCAACACTTAAGGAAAAAAAAAAAAAAAAAAAAAAACCAAAATAAAACAACCCAAAGGTCATTATTAGTCTATATAAATTTATACATTTGGACATTGGCAGTTCAGTCAGCAAGGCTTATAAAGCAGATTTTAACACAAAGATCAAAAGTAATTTCTACTGTGAATTCAACTGAACACTGTCCATAATGTGTTTAGAATATCAGTGTACAGCCATGACCAGATAGTTAGAGATAAATGTTGAACTTGATGTTCAGACCACCTCCACGTCTGCTTAATATTTTGCTTTCCATAGAACATACTGTTGTAAGCGTGAATAGCCTCTGTTCTGATTGTATCTGGCTTTTAGGGTGTCAGGTGCAGTGCTCTGAAGGCTTTGTGTGTTCTGGGTCTTGGAAGACAACAAAGTTAGACTACCTTAAGAGACAGGGAGACAGATTGGCTTTGGTGAATATATTCATAAAGCTGGAGAAACACAGTGTTCCATTTCAGCTCCTACTACATTCAGTTTCTGGTAAAGGCAGGCCCTCTTGTTAAATAAGTAAGGGTTCATGGAAATATACTTTCTCTTCAGACTTTATAGAATGCTTTAACTAGCATGTAAAGAAATTCAATGTTGGGGTTCAATTTTGGCCAACAAAAAGGTATTTCTAAAGTGAAGAAGAGATTTACATGATAATGGGGTTAATTGTCTTTTTGATTTAGATGAAGTTCCTGAGCATCATGAATCAAAGTTTAAATTTAAGCATCTCATTGCAGCTTTAATTGTTGAGTACTTACCACTTTTGAGTTCTAGTGAGCGGTTGGGTATTGAACACATCCTTGTCTATGCAGTCATAGCAGTTTGATCAGTTTTCATCTAATCATGGATTGAGCTCAGTGCTAGCCAGCTTGCACCAAAGCTGCCAAGTTGCATGCTGAGGCACGTTCATACATTGGAGCTGCAGTAAAAGTGCTTTGCTGCTTGTTTGCACATTTCCTCCTGCCCAGGTGTACCACTTGCACGTTGCCCTTGGTTCCCTAAACTTGCAGGTTTTACTTCCCAGTGTCATGGGGACAGAGACTTGGTAGTTGACTTTGACTGTTCTGACCAGTTGAGAGATCTTTTTCCAGTTATCATAGCTACTATAAACCATACGCATCAATTAGCCTTGTGTTAGATGCTGTACAAACACAGGGGGAATAATAAATTTATTGTTTCAAAGTAATCTTAATGCTAGAGGATGAATGAGAATGAAAGCTGACTGCCACAAACTGGATATCAATGATGTGTGTGTGGGATTTGGGTTTTCTTTTGTATTTCTTTGTTGCCATACAACAAATGCATGTTTAAAGCAGGGTAATAGGTAGTTTTGTAAATAATTTCTGTAAGTATGAGGGAGAACAAAACAAAAATGCTGGCTACAGAGGCTGGATTTAAAGGTAAGCAGAATAATTTCTCTTTTAAATGAGAGTTGAGAAGTAGAGTGGGCGTTGGCCACAACGTCCATAGGTGTGCAGGAAAACAGTTTGATGATAGGGAAGAGGAACTGCCTAGTTTGTGAATGTGATTTTTGTGTTAGTATTTTGAGTGGGTATGAGAGTGGTTAAATTCTAGGCATTAAGACAGCAAGTATTCCCGACATTTAAGGAATGATACAGCCGGAGCTGAAATTTTGTCCGAATAGCAGATAGAAAGGTCTGTATGTTAAATAATGAGAAAAAGCTGTGAGATTTAGTTGTTGTCTGGACGTACAGATCTAGGCAGATCCCAATCAGCTGACAAAAATGCTTTTTATCTACTACATTTCCCCCTTTACTGCAAAGACTTCAATAAATTCAATAATAGTGTATTGAAGCTGCTTTCTCAGGAGTCTCTGTATAGAATTCGTGGTAAAGGCAGGAAGAGTTCAAGCTACTCCATTTCTGTATTATCTGAGTATTGAATTTATCAAATCAGTATCTTGCCTTAACTCATGCACTCTTTTTTTTTTTCTCCTATCTCTCAGATTTTCTATTTTGTACATACATTGTTTTGTATATACTGTATATGATGACTTCGGTGGGCAGTGAACGTACCCGGGGCACTCGGGACAAAACGCAAATTTCAACCACACAGCCAACACAACCACAGAAACAAGTAGTACAGGTATGTGCTATACTATATGTACTATAATGCTGTATAATCATCTTTGAGTTCAAAGTAAGCATTTCGTATGTAATGATCTCCATTTCTTTGCTAAGTCCGTAAAAACTGAGAAAAGACAGGAGGAATAATTATGGTCTATTTTGGATATTTTTGATATCTCGCTTTAATTACTCAGTAATCCAGCACAGCATTAAATTGTTCCTGTATTCGTGTCTCTAAAGGAACTTTGTGTTCTTCAGCAACATTTCTTATCAGTGAGGAATTCTGTGCCTTTGTCAGGATTTCTGTCCTGTGACCTCAGTGTCTTCAGATCTCAGCTCTTCCATATGCCACCCTCATGATACAAGAAGATTTCTGGTTGATAGAGGAACTTGGGTGGGTGGGAAAAGTTTCATTAGATGTGTGCTGTGTTCTACAGCATGATTCAGCACACCTCCAAATCGCAAAATCCTAAACTTCTTGTGCACTCACAAAGTGAAATGAAGATGATCATCCACTAGCAGACTAAAATTATTTTGGGTATCTGTGAGATTGAAATTAAGATCTTGCCCCATTGTCTGATTCTCAGCAGCAGAGTAAATTTTCTTGCTTGTCTGGGTTACAAAGAGTGTAAAATGTCTCTGCTCTTGGCAACTCATTATTCTCTTGTCAGGTACTTCTCAAAATTGGACTTAATTCAAGAACTGCCTCAGTTCTCTGCTGGCAGAGAGTGCGTCAATCTAGAAGTGCTCCTCTGGAAAATTGTGTCTTATTGTTTTCTAGACTGATCTTTAATGTGGAGGGGCTTTCATTCTGTTTTGTACTGTATTAATTATGTGACCTCAAGCCCTTGTAATCTCCTTGTGTTGCAGCACTTTGCATAGTGGTGATTTATGCTAATGTGTGGATTTATAAAGTGACTTTCAACAGATGAAGTTGAATTTGGTTTTGTTTTATAACAAGTAAGGCTGCAGGACTATAGTAAGCAGGTTGATAGCAGTGATGGTTTCCCCTTTTTTGACATCTGCAAGACAGCAGTGAAGTACTCTGCCCAATTTTGGTTTCCCTGGTACAAGACACACTGACAGATGGGAGCAAGTACAATGAAGACCTGCAGGGATGGTTGAGAGTCTGGAGCACAGGATGAATGAGGGGTGGCTGAGGTTACTGGATTTGTTCAGCCCTAAGAAGGCAAGACAAGGTCATCTATTCAGATACCTCATGAAAGGGTATAGAAAAGGTGAAGCCAGACTCTTTTCAGAGAAACAGTGGCATGAGTTGGAACACTGGAAATTCCAGTTGTTAGGAGGAAAAAAAATGTTTACCGTGCATACAGTCATGGATTAGAGAAGTTGTGGGATCTCTCTTTGGCCCTTAGCAGCTCCTCTGATGGGACATGTTCTCAGTGGGAGATTTCACAGGGTATCACTGGAGGACCTTTTCAACCCATGTGATTAATTGATTTTAAGCATTAAGTCATATGGACTTTTTTTATTCAGTTTGCTTATTCTACTACTTGCATAGTAGATATTGATTTGGTCATTTCAGTGGAAAAGATAGTTATTTAATATACAGCATTTACATTTTAGTGCACCATGTTTTTTTATTGTTTAGATGGACCTTTCTGCTTTTTCAGACTTTACAGATTAGCAGAAACGTGTGGGATTTTACTGTTTAACCACCATTGATTCATTTTGCTGAATGTAGAATAACATTGCTTTCCCAAATGGAGATTTCATTGTCATAATATTGCATTGATCATCATTTAAGTTATTTAAGAAATTACATCACAGTTCTTTTGCATTGCTCGTGAGTAATAAATATGCCATTTTATTATAAGAACTGGGCCTATTACTATCACTCAATTCTGTATTTTGCACATTTCTGTTTTCTGGTAGTTCAAAGTTGTTGATTAAAAATTTCCATCACTGTGTTATGCTGCAAAGATAATATATCTTGTAAGATTGAGTAAAGTTTTAGCTGGCTTAAGATGATACTATTTTCTTAGTTGCAATTAAAACTTAATTATATTCTTTTATAGGATACTGCAGTGTTACTTATAATGATGGTCCCTTCAAAATAAAAGAGCCACTTGCTGGAAGAAAACCAAAACTTTGTGACATTGATTTGTTTTTTTATTTTTTATTCTTCTGAATCTTCAATTTCATCTGAGTGCAACCCACTGGCATAAATATTAGTGATATTGCATCTGTTTGTTTCCAAGCTCTCTGCTTACGTAGTAAAACTGGAGATACTGTCACACATTTGATATAGTTATAAAATTGGTGTATTTTTGTCTTCTAATGTGGACTTGAAAGAAAGTCAGTTTACAGAAAAAAAAGTAATCTTAATGGCTTCCTGTTTCTGGTCAAAAGTTCTGTCATGTCTCTACAGAACATTTTTGTTTTGGATATCTTTAAAGGATATCTCTTCACTAGTTTAAAAGTTGCAGTGGGCCTGAGGAGGCTGAAGTTAGAGTGAGAAGATGGATCAACAAGGCTTAATTCCTGAAACCAGCAGACCTTTTGTTTTTGCTCTCTGCTGAGCTCTCATCAGACACCAAGAGTGAGCTCGTTTGCACAGAGCACTGCACTGACTGGGACGTTTTTGTGGAGGGTGGCACCAGGGCTGGTGCGGGGAATTCCAGAGCAGGCTCTCCTCTGTGTTACTGAGTGGAGTGACGTATGAAGCTGTCAGCATGACACTTTGAAAATTTGAAATAGTGCAGAGTACTTAACTCCGGCACAAACGCTAATTGTCTTGGAACGTCGCCTCTGAGCGCAGTAAATGTCGCTTCACTCAAGGCACTGGGACAGCTGCAGTAACTTCTTAGAAAATAAGCAGCTGCTGGTGTATGATGGAGTAATTTTTAGACTCTTCTCAGCCTTTATACCTGGTGACCTCTTCTAGAGCTTCTATTTGTGGTAAACTCCAAAACCAAAGCAGTTTAAGGCTGATTAAGTCTGAGCTTGAGGCACAGAATTCCATGTGGCTGTCCTGTGAAGTGAGACTTTGAAAGGTAAGATTCAACCATCTGCCGAGGATGAATCTTTACTGTCAAGGATTTCAGTGGATGAGGTAGTCCCCTTCTCAATGAAGAAGTTTTCTGCAGCACATCAACTCACATTTCGGGTCCTGGCTTTCTTCAGTATCAGCCTTCTCTAGCATGAAATGGAAGTCTCTTCTGTTTGAGCAGAAATCAAATTAGATCCAGGATCATGTAGAATATTTATTTTTGGATTTTCATGGGAGTGCAGTTCAAGTAGACTGCAAATGCCACACTGTGAAGAGTGTCCTGTATGATGTGACAGTGTTTTTGAGTTGCTTTCTCTTTCAGGCAGCCACAGCCTGTTTGTATATATGTCACTTTACTGCATCCATCCATTTTATTATTTCAGCTTTTGGAGAAGTTGCCAGCATGGATTTGTGGTCCGGAAATGTTACAGAAGCACCAGATATTTCATCGATAGCAAGATCCTTTGGCAGTTTTCAGAGACTAGTATTTGCTTATGAAGAAAATAAGTGCAGCTGTTCATAAGGAAAATCTTGAAGCACGACTCAGTCTCTTTTTAAGTGCTCATAAAACTACAGAGTCAGGTTGTTGCTGGGAGAGTTGTGGGGGTGATGTGAGCCAGTATCAGACATGTGGTTAATTTAGAAACACCATTGCCAGTTTGTTATGGTAAAACTCTAACTCAGGAGTAGTAGATACTACATAGAAGTAAAAGTAATAATATCGCAGCATAGGCTTCTGTGGTAAGTTCCATTTTATTATATGGTTGTCTTGTCTATATGTTGACCTTTAACTGTGGTTCAAACACATTAGAATGTGTTGAAATTGCTTCTGTCCCAGCTAAATTTTTAACTATAAAATGGGCATAGAGGTGATGTTAATCTCTTCCCCATGTCACCTCTGTGCTTGTTGTGTATGTTCTTGAGTATCTGGAGAAAAAAATACAGTGACATTAGAAGATACTTTTAAAAAATATATTGTTATCTTTTGTGTATTTTATTGGATGCTTGCATTTTTCAGGCAACAGCAGAACAGATTCGCCTTGCTCAGATGATCTATGATAAGAACGACGCAGATTTTGAAGATAAAGTGAAACAAGTATGTTTCTTATGATACAGAATTTTTAGGCCCTGCAGTAATGTGCTCCAAACCTGGCTTATGTTTTGGAGCTAAAGCATCTGTTTCTGTTTTAGGTGAAACCTTTTTCAAAAGAATGTAAGTTTAACTAGCAAAAAGTGTTCTTACTGCGCTGTAAAGTCTGTTTACAAGAGATTGTGTGGTAGTATAGATCTGGCTGTATAGTTACATCAGTGTATTTTCCTTTATAGACAAGCCTTTAAGCCAGAATTCATCTGTGCTGATGTCTCTTCCACACTGTATGGTCCTGATGCTTAAAGATTGACAGAATAAGGAGTGCATTCAGCTTGTCCACATGTACATGCATATGGGAAAAATATGTCAACTATGTAAACTGAGTTTGCTAATATCTTGGCTGTTTTTCAGGAAAAGTAAAATCTAATCATAGCTTAAAGGTGTATTGAAGTGTTACTTTAAAAAAAAAAAAATTAATCTGACCTCCCAGATATGTGTGTACATCAAAAGGATAGAATTACACCAAAAATGAAATCATAGAATCATAGAATGATTCTAGTTGGAAGGGACCTTAAAGACCTAGTTCCAATGCCCCTGCCACAGGCAGGGACACCTTCCACCAGCCCAGGTTGTTCAAAGCCCCATCCAACCTGGCCTTGAACCCTTCCAGGGAGGGGGCAGCCACAGCTGCTCTGGGCAACCTGTGCCAGTGTCTCATCACCCTCACAGTGAGGAGTTTCTTCCTTATATCTAATCAAAATCCACCCTTTTTCATTTTAAAACCATTATGCCTCTGTTGTGGGTTGACCTTGGCTGGATAGGGTCTCACCAGAGCAGAGTAGAGAGGGAGAATCCCCTCCCTTGACCTGCTGGCCACGCTTCTCTTGATGCAGCCCAGGACACAGTTGACTTTCTGGGCTGTGAGTGCACATTGCTGGCTCACAGTCAGTTTTCCATCCACCAACACCCCCAAGTTCTTCTCTGCAGGGCTGCTCTCCATCCACTCATCTCCCAGCCTGTGTTTGTGCTTGGGATTGCCCCGACCCATGTGCAGGACCTTGCACTTGGCCTTGTTGAACTCCATGAGATTTGCACCTCTCCAGCCTGCCCAGGTCCCTCTGGATGGCATCCCTTCCCTCCAGCGTGTCACCACTCAGCTTGGTGTTGTCAGCAAACTTGCTGAGGGTGCACTTGATCCCACTGTCTGTGTAGCCAACAAAGATGTTCAACAGTACACCTGAGATGTTCAACCAACACCTGAGGAACACCACTTGCCACTGTCCTTCCTTTGCTCCTAGCTGGCCAGCAGCAAGTGATTCCTGCTGTAGTAATCCCCATAACATTCAATTCAAATCCCAGGTTACAACAATTTAATGGTATTTCCATTACAGTCTCCACCCATGGTTCCTTTGGACCAGACCATCAGGTTTAATATTACAGTGAACTCCTCCCCTTGCCCCTGCTCTGGCTTTGACTTATTGACAGACTTCAGTCCTTCAGGGTTGTACCTGTGCCAAGTGGAGCCTTATCTATGAGCCACAGTCTCTTCAGGGGTATACCTGATGATAACAGAGCTTCCCTGGTCTTTTACATCTTTGTCCTTATGTACTGCTGTCTCTGGGATGACAGCATTTGCTGCAAGCATAAAGGAAAAAGAAAAGGTGTGAAAGAGAGTACTTTATTGATATGCCAATTAATTTTTCTTTCATCCTGTCTCCTCTCTGAACCTCAAGCAGATCTATAAAATTCAAATAGCTTTAGGATTTTAGTTTGCTCTGACACAGTAGCTATTCAGTTTCTTGGAATCTGTGGTGATACTAACTCTTATTTTCTTATGATGATAATTTAGATATCTTAACATGTCTGACTTTTACTGCCAGCTTATGGAAGTGACGGGGAAAAACCAAGATGAGTGCATAGTGGCACTACATGATTGTAATGGGGATGTGAACAGAGCAATCAACATACTGCTGGAAGGAAATTCAGACACGGTAAGGTTTTACTTTCATATTAAATGGCTCTGTTTGCTGCATCTTTCTACTTCTAGGAAGTGACTGGGAAAATTGTATTTCAGAAGCTTTCAATTTCAATGTTTCCATTCAAATTCTTTTGAAGGAAATTGAGATCAGGACAGCTTCTCTACTGTATCCATACCTTAGAGTACCTTGAAAATGTTGTGGGTGTTCAGCTGGCCTCCTGCAGTCTTCCGTCTTTCATTTACATGCAGCAGATTTAAGTTTGCAGCATAACTCGGTGCTCTGTCAGACACAGGCCTGTGTTTTGCTGCAATGTTTGTGGTTACCCTGTAGCACTGCCACAGCTCTGAGACCTGAGACTAAGTGTTTGTCACCAAGGGTAATCTTCATAAACCTCAAAGGCAGGCATATATTTTAAGTTGTGCAACTTCTTTAGGTGTGTATTGCCAACGTTGAAGTTGGAGGCAGTTTCCACATCTGAAAGTTGCATTGACAATGCTACTAATGACAGAAGAGGATACAGCAAGTAGTTGCTCCTTTCACACTGTTGCTTATTTGAATGGCTTCATTGACAAGCAGAAAGAGGAAACTAAACAGTGTGTATATAAAAACAAATAATGTCACACAGAGCAATTTTAAAAATGTTACACAGAGCAATTTTTTATCCCAAAAGATACCAGAAAGAATGTCTTGGCTGCAGTTGAAGTTTTTGCTGGAGGTACTTCTTACAGTTTATCCAAGGGAGTAAACTAGGTTCCATCTCATCTACATTGGGAAAAAAAATTGGGCTTCCTTTCTTAATGCTGAACATTCAGTATTTCCTGTGATTTGTCAGGATGTGTACTTTAGCTTATTGTTAATGAGGAAACTCACACCACCCTTCTACCACCTCCCAAATCTAGGACACATATTGTTCTGTCTGAGAGGACTTTGTTTTCTATCCCCTTTTCATTTGTCAAAGTTGAGGTAATCTAAAACACAGAAGTATATAATACTGAGTGAACTGGCAAGTTGGGATTAGAAGAGAATATCTCATGTCTTCGTAACGTACTGGTTTTGTGTTTGCTTGTACTTCTGGTATTTGCCATTTTCTAGTTGAAAATAATTTTCTGGTTGATGGAGAATGTTAAATGCTTTCCTACTTTAGCAAATTGTTCTAAGTGATCATGACATGGAAGAAACTTTCTGAACTCATTTATCAAATAGAAGCAACAGAGTGATGTGTTCTGCTATTTTGGTAAGTCCCTCTGAACACACTGCTCTCTGTAGACACAATGGAACGTGGAAACAAATACAGAGAACTTAACGGGCTCAGGGAGGAAAGAGTATTAATTGAAGGGCTTGAAGAAACTTATTGTTCTTTATGGAAGTTTCTGGACCTTCCACTTGAAGGGTTTGTTTTAAGGCCATTATACTCCAGAACAGTTTAACTCTGGATTTGATGTAAAGTTGGAAGCAGTAGGTACTACTAGTTCTGAATGCAGATTCACAAATCTCATTTTCTAGTTTCTCTCTGCTTTGATGCACCAGAAGTTTGTTTTCTTTTTTTTTTTTTTTTTTTAATATACCTCATTTGGAAGATCTTTCTGTCCAGTTTGAGGAATTTACAAGAGGAGGGAATGATAGCTAGAATGTCTATTTATAATTTATTTGGTGCTCTGCCAGTTTTGACATTTTTTTTTTTTTTCAACCTTGTGGACTTCAAGGCTTTATGCTGTGTGACTGTTAGTCTTTATGAGGACTTTTCAGTTGTAATAATTTTGATAGTCTGGCTTTGGATAGATAGAGACTTGTAGATGAAAGTAGAGAAGGGCATGTTTCTTTGCCCAAGTTGTCTATTCGTTTAACTTCCTACAGGCGTAAGATCCATTTATGCCTGACCATGTTTTACTTTCTAAACCTTTGAAGATAGAACAAAGGAGTACCTCTCAGTGTTCATCTTTTCATCTAAGATCAGGCCTGCAAGAAGGCTTCTAGTTAAATATTTTCGAAGATCAGGCCTACAACTGTCATTTGGGTTGCCTTAGGCATCATCAGCTGAAATTGTGATCAGTTAGCTCCCTTACGAAAACAGACAGCTTCAGTAGTCTATGATAAATTCTCTGCCCAGAGGTAGCACCAGTCCTCTACCTTAAAGGACATGCCCAACTTCTCAAGGCTTTCCTCAAAACTAAAAGCATGGATCTGACGCTTTCATAGTTGTTCTTTTACTGATCTTTCCTACGTCATGTAAAACCTTACTAAGGAGAGGTGCTTCCTCTTAAGCATTGCAGGATCATTCAGTTTTGGTATTTCTTAAAATGGTCGAAGATCTTTTGGCACCATTCCCATCAATGAAATAGTGCATTCTGAACTATATGGACTTGGTTCTTCAATTGTCTGTGCAGTTATTTTTCATCCTGTGAAGTGTCTCTAAAGTTCTAGGAGTGTTCTAGTGTGTAATGCGGTTACCCAGGCTACATCATGTGAAGTCATATAATAGTTACTGGAGAAACGTTTTCTGTTGCACAGATAACATGGTGTTGCTCAAATGTGTAGTTTTGTAATTCTAATCCACACTGTCTGTGCTTCACCTAAGCTGGTTTATGGTAGTGTGGTCTTCTATACTGGAGGTGAAATTGAATGCCTTCTATCTCACCGATACTATGTCAAAAAATAAGAGAGCGTAACCATATTATCTCAAAGGAGACACTGAAACTCTGGGTTTATAATTGTAAACTGCTTTGTTACCTGCTTTCTCAATAGCATTAGTTTTCTCAGTTCTAGGCAGCTTGGACTAGCTAGCCATTGCCTGCCTCGTAAGGACTTCTGAGCTGCTGTTTGAATTGAGAGGAGAAAGGACAGGACCTAAAAGTACTGATAGCCAACCTTTTTGCTTGATGCAGATGCCTGGTCACAGGTCATGGATTTAGTGCTTCACAGCTGATGACACCTTAATAGCATATGCAAATTTTATGCTTAAATACCTTACCTAGACTATAAGTTCCTAGAGATGGGGACATACATATAAACCTATCTGCCATCTCAATGGTTTGCAAATAATACCTTTCTTCTTTGCTTTTGCAACTATGGCTCAGTAGACTATCCATGCAGTTGCATAATATATGAGGTGCTGTGCTATTCTTAGCAATTGTTTTAGTCATTTTGTTTTCAACTCCTACAGATACTCTTATGGAGCCGATACCCTCCCTGAATTTATTTTAAAGATGGAACTTAATATTAAAGCTGAAAACTGATGTTTGGACTTTGCCCCTTGTCTTGTTCAGACATAGTTTTTCCTATATTAAGATTGGATGATCTGACTTACCGTGGCCTCAGTTTTCTCATGTTGTTGTTCTGACATTCTGTCTAGTTGGTGCTTGAATTCTAGTATGTCCTGATAATCGTTTTTCTTTTTTCTCTCTCTTTTTTTTTTTTTTTTTTATTTTTTTTTTATATGCCTTAGGCCACTTACCACTCTCTTGTTCAGTGATGCTTATAAGCATTTTCTCATTTCCTTAGTAGAAAAAGGTAGCTCTGTGCATGCTCCCTTGCTAGATTTATGGAGGTATTTGAGAGGAAAACTGTTGCTTGCTTCACACATTTTCTGTTCTGGTCTTGTATAGGCTTCCTTGAATTAGTAAAAGTTCATTATAGCCAGAAATACTTGGGATTCTCACATTCTACAAGACAATCCAACTTCTAAAACTTGTTTCTTTCTTCGTCTTTTCCCAGAAATACAGCCTGTGTTTCCATTTGTATCATTGTAGTTTGCAATGTATTAAATATATGATGCTATGCAAATACATGTTTTTTCCATGAACTAGGGAAGTCTGAAGTGGAAGTATGCATTGAGAGCTGTCTCTTTCTTTTTCATTTTTTTATCTAATTCTATTCTACCCAAATAGACTTCTTGGGAGACTGTAGGGGGAAAGAAGAAAAGCCTTGGAAAGGAAAGTTCAGGAAACAAAGAGAACAGAGAAAAACGAGGGGACAGAGAAGTGAGTCAGCGGATGGGGAAGTTCCAACAGACGGGGAAGAGGAGGCAGCCGCGGCCGAGAGTGTACGTATAGGGGTTCATTTTTAAAGATTCAGACACTTTTCTTGCAGCTGAAACTGACTGAGTTAAGAGTGAATTCTTAACGGAGTAAAATCCATCCGAGCTATAGCTCAACACTGAAGGGGATAACTTGTTTGTGCAATGGGTGTGCTTGATCTGTCTGTGTAGCTTGGTTTGGGGATGGAGTGCTTGTTAAGAGCAGCAGTTTATTTTTCTGTCCTTTTTTGATTAATTGATCTTGTACAAGTTGCCTGTTCTTTGTGTAAGTTTTAGAATTGACTCTGTAAGACTGCTTGAGAGCAAGTGTGTCATTGCACAGCTGATACACTTTTTTTTGTTTCTTTTAATGAAAAAATGACCCAGCTTTGACTCCATCTCCTTTTATGAGTGGGAGAACCTAAAGATGTTCTCATCTTCTCATAAAGGGAATGAAAACATAGAGATCATTATTAATCTCTAGTTTATATTACATAAGCCAACCAAAGGTGAGTTTCTACAACAGAGAAAATTATTTGTGAGTTGAAACATTTAAAAATTTCCTGCAGTTTATATAGGTGCAGTAATACGTTGTACAAAGGAATACTGTTGTTTCCAAGTTAGGTAGAATTACATTAGATCACCATTGAATATATGTTGCTTTCTCCTCTTAAGTTTTATCAGCAGTATCAAAGCTGTGTGCATTGCCTGTAAGGACTGTACAGAACACTGATAGATGAGCAAAGAAACCAGAATGAAAACAATATTTTTAGCTTTTCTCTTAAAAGGAGGAAAAAATATTTACAATATTTTAATGCATATTCTAATTAATTATTGGAATATATTCAAATATTGTGCCAATGAAGACATTGTGAATCTTTGTAGAATAGAGTAACATCAAGATAGGAAAAAATATTACTAAATCTTGCAGCTGTGATTAGAACAAATTGGAATTGGATCCATCAGAGCGAAAGTGGGGGGGGCAAAACTTTTGCCAGAGCCAGATCCTGCTTGTCTCTTTCTGTAATCTGGAATTAAAGACTTTTGAGATGGTTACCAAATCTTGATATTTTCTTCCCAGCTTTACATCCCAGTATTAATGATTTTGTTACTACAATTAGGAGTAGTTGTGTAGTACAAAATCTCAGCAGTGTTTTAAGTGGGCAGTCATTTTTTATTTTTTTTCTTCTTTTTCTTCAAGGAGCCAGCCACCTTTCAGAGTACCTTCTCAGGAGTTTTCCACAAAATAGTCAAGTTGCAGTGCTTTTCTAATGCCTCTCCTTCACCCAGTCATAATCCCTCTGATTTAAATACAGAGGAGAGAGAGTTCTTTTAAGTTTCCCTGGTTGTACAGGGATGTGGTATGGGCAGACAGGAGAAGAGTTGATGTTCTTTGTTATCCCTTATTCTTTCACTGTCGTCACCCTGCGTGTTATCAAGGAAGCACAGTATGAGACAGCTGTATTTTCTACCTCATTAAAGAGATGAGACCATAATTAACTTAATAGTGTAGGCTGCAAGCCACTGCACATTTTTTTTTTAATTATTATTTCAAAAACCAGTAGTGTGTCTACTGAGGGACATTTCCCTCTTACTAGATATTTTGCTTCCTAATTGTCCAGTGCAAAGTGAACATAACTTGCTTGTTGCTAGGCTCCCAAAGGAGAGGGGTGACTGAGATCTGTTGACTAGCCCACTTCAAAATCTTGCCTTTTCTTTTGGGGTTAGGTTAAGCAGATGGCTATACTATCTCATATACAGGTCTCTAAAAGTTCTCTTAAGCTGTCCTCTCTCCACAGTTAGAGCTGAAGAGAATGGAGTGGACAACAATCAAGGAGACAGGCCTTCAGACCGTGGGAAACGTGGCCGTGGGAGAGGTGAGGTGGTGGCATTGGTGTGTGACTGGCACTGATTTCATGTCCTGAAATGGAACTCTCCCATTTATTTCTTTAAACACTTCTTTTTAAAAGCATTTGTTGGTTGCCCTTTGATTCCATAAGCACTTTGACCACCTTTAATTTAGGTACATCCCCCTCCTTTACACCTTGCCATGTCTTGGTCTTAGAACAACATAAAAGAGTTGACACAGATCACCTTTATGGTAATTTCCTGTGTGTTAGGCTGGTGTGCTCTGGCTGTGGAGAGCTGTTTTCTCAATTGGATTAATGCCAGCCTCCTGAGAGTGGAAGTGTACTAGGTTCCTCACAATGTACCCTGGCAGCAGGAGAATACCAGATTCCATTTGTAGACCTCTTGGGGAGGATTTGATGTGTACTTTTGCCGTTTCTTTGGGGTAGATTCGGTTGTCAGGCTTGTCTTGTTTTCAGTAGCCAGAGAGAGCACAAGCCACCTTAGAGACTTCTTGATAAGAGAACAAATTTGGCACAGAAGAGTTGTAGAGGTGAACTGTGGAAAAAGAATACTGCAGAGTCTTGGGTACAAGTCTCATTCTATCCTGTAGAAGAGATAGGAAAGATGTTGATAATGGATGTGAAGTAGAATGAATGGATGTGTAGTTGGCTTGGATTTTCACAGGATGGAGTGGAAAGAGCCGTGTCTTGTCTTAAAGCAGGAGGAATGAGAGTGAGTAATCTAGGTACGGTGCAGGTTGTGTGGGGAAGTGGGTATTAAATGAGTTAAATTGATGAAGTGCACAGCAGAGCTAACGTATGTAGTAAGTAATGTCTGACTTGTGAAAAATTCTTCCTTCAGAGGACTTCCTTCTCTTTGGAGTGTTCAGTAACAAGGCATTCAAAGGCAAGCACATCCAACTTCACTGTCTCCAGATCTGCACCTTGAAGGAGTGGAAAGATGCAAAGACATGTAGTTTCCAGAGGGTTGTGAGAATGACTCGGTTGTGCCTGTGAATCAGCAAATACCAAATGGTGTGTGCAGAGAGGTAGTTCTGCAGGAGAGGGTGTCATATAATTCACAGTTATAGTTTTTGTTATGTTGGCACTGTTAATAGATGGAATATAAGTTTTTCAGTATTTGTTTTGTAAATAATCATTTACACTCAAATTGGAAATATAAAGGTAGGATTTTTTAAAATTGTTGGGTGAAACTTAGAGGTTAATTTCAAATGCAGTCTAGTTTTTGCTTTGCAACCTTATGAACAATACACTGCTTTTGTTGTCAACGCTGTAGCTCTTTAGATAAATACGGCTCAAGCCAAAGCACATAATCATCGGGTAAACTGACATACCTGACTGAAGAAACAGGAACTTCAACCAATTTCTGTTCACTGGCTCAGTGTATATAGTGTTACTGTATCTCTCCACCAAATATTTTAGACTGTACATTCATGTGAGCAAAGTATCTTAATGAAGTGTTCTCAACTGTCTGTGATAAACCTGTTGAACGACTTCAAGATCATTATGTGACAAGTGTGTGTGACAGGAAATACCTAGTTCAGTTTTATAATGCAAGCCCTTGAAATCTGCAGGGAGTTGTATAAAGCTGTGTAATTCACTTCTCAGTATTTTAGGGATGGATGACCTTCTTTCTTTGGATATTAGTAGAAATAATAAAAAAAGCTTCCTGCCATTTCATTCAGCAGTCTTTTTTTTTTTTTTTTTCTGTTACACAGAATAGTCAAATGTGGGATAAAGTACTTCAGCTCAAAGTACATAGATTGCTGGTAATCACCACAGAACCCTTTTTTAGAAATGTTTCTTGCAGAATCTGTGTGTGTAGGTATCTAGGCATTGAATAGAAATTGGGGGTCAGCTAATAACTGAGCAATGCACTGTCTCTATTTTAAGCTACCTTCTCAGGCTGGAGTTATCTTACTGGCTGCTTTCTAGGGGAAGATCTGCTGGGCCATAGTATTGCTGCTTCACTGTAGATCAACCTAATTTTAAGAGATGATATGCATTGAAAGTAAGAAATGGGATTGACACTGGGGTGATAAGGTGCAGTTTACAGAGGAGAGAGAATCCTGATACAGAGTATTTCAGCCTTGGTGCTGTAGGGACTACTTTAGTTGTGCAGTAGATCTTCTGTTAATGACTGTGTGACATTCCTTGCAACTTTATAGTGTAGTAGGTATACAGTGTACAAACACCAGTGGTTGCTGGCATGCAGTAGATCAGGGATTTGAAGTAGATAGGTGTTACTGACTGATTAACAAAAAGCAAAAATGTATCACAGGATGTGTTTCAGGGCACGCCTGACCTGGAATTGGCCTGCCCTTAATCTTTGTTTGCTACAGAGGGTATAAACTTTGTGTTGGAAGGGAATCAAGAAATTTGTTTTTATAGATAGTCTTCCCATCTATAGATGGGATTATCAGCTCTAGCCTAAATATTTCCTCACTTGTGTTTTTATCAGCTGTAGTGTTATATACAAATTGTCAAACTTTACAGGCACAATTTTTTTTATGCTGCTGTTTTTTATTATTCTGACATCTTCAATTCTAAGTGTAGGTCTGGTTCTCCCATTGTCTTCCACCCCACGTTGAAAAGGATGCAGTAGAGCTAGAAAAGGCTTTTGAAGGTACTGGGAAGATTGCATTTATGGGGTGTGAGGAACAAGCAGACTAGGACTTTTCTGCCTGCAAAAGAGAGGGAAGAGGCTGTGTATGGTAGAGATCTATAAAATCTCTGTGGAGAAGGTTCTGTTGGGAAAACAACTGATCACTCCAAGCAAGTACACAAATGAGAGAATATTAAATGAAATCAGAAGGTTACGGGCTCAAAATGAACTTACGGAGATGGTTCTTGACGTTAACCTGAGGAACTCCTTTCAAAAAGATGTTGTGGGTGGTAAAAATTTACATACAGAGACACTTGACAATTCCTTCCTAAAAAAGAACCACATCAAAAAAAGGGAAAACCACTGAGGATTCTGATGTATCTAAATTATCTTTGGCTGAGAAAGTGTGAGCAACAAATGGTTGAAGACCAGGAGAGTGTCCAGAGAAACTGTGCTGTGGTTTCAGTTCTTGTAGTCTTCCCTAGATATCGAGTTGACCATAGTTGATAATGGGATAGCAGGTAGACATACTTTTGGACTTGATTCAGCATAGAAATTGTTGCAGATTCATGTGATTTGCAAAGTGAAAATGGATTTGTTGCTTTTACTTCTGTTCCTTTATTCTCTTCCTCTTCATTCTTCCAGGGAAACGAAATCATGCCACAAATGTGGATTTTTTTTCTTGCAAAACAGAAATGAAAGGGAAAAACATGTTTTAATTTTGGATTTAAACAGCATGGCATGGAGCCTTGCAAAGTCTTGTTTTTCCTGCTGGCTGTATAAGAAAGCAAAGCAGCTTAGCCTTTTTTTAAATATCTGACTATACTCCAGCTTGTGTTCTTAATATACTTTTTCTTTCTTTTTTTTTTTTTTTTAAGAATTTTTTTAGATAAGTAGTATGCTATCCTTGAAAAAATTGAGCTTCTGTAACCAGAGTTGCCTGTCTAAACATTTTCTTATTTTAAAAGCTTAGCACAGTTGGCACAGGATATATTTTGGATTTCCTTTGCCAAGTAAGGATGTTGCTTGTTCTAAACACGAATGTAGAGCACATGTTCTGGAGGTCTCAATTTGAAGTCCATTTAGTTTTGCTGTAGCTGGTTCTGCATTGGTTAGAAGGTTGTGTGTGTCGTGCATTTTTTTTTTTTGAAATTAAACAGCTTTAAGTTATTTATTTTCTTTTAAACATAACTTTACAGTTGAAAGTTTTATGTGTTTGCTTCTAAAAATGGTTACTACAGTATATGCAGTGTATAAAACTGATCCAGTGCTTCTACTTCATGATGACTAATAAGACAAAAATGATTTAAATTATTAGATATAAATTCAGCATTTTTTTTTTGTACTATGGAATACCTAGAATACAAACTTTCTATACTTAGCCTCCTTATCTGTTTATAAGGCTTAATCCTCTGTCACTTTGGTGTCTGCTGGGAGGATGGCTGGCTTTGCATTTCCAGAGCAGAGACCAGGGCAGTTCAGTTACTGTGTAGTTGGAGATAAGCACAAATCTAGGGTGTTACCTGCCCTTCCAATCTGCATTTACATTTCCTTTCAGCTGTTCTTAGGCCTCTTTCTTAACCTTGAAGTGTCTTCATCTAATTGAAACCTGTCAGTGTGAAAATCTGAGCTTTGAAATAAAGCACCTGTTCTGCAGTAGAAGGATTTAAGCCTGCAAGCTCAGCAAACTGGATTTTCTACAGAATAGGCTATTAAGTTAATGGCTAGACCCATTGCTACTGTGTTGTAATGCCTTGCGGCACTACACACTTTACTTATGCTCCCATGTAGTGTGCATTTGTTTTGGAGGAAGCAATGTGAATGAGATGAATGATTCTTTCCATGCATGGATGGTACAAGAGTAAAGACTTGATTGTGCGATTATGAGTGTTTTGAACTCCCAGTGGGTTTTTAGTGGAAGCAGGAAATGTCACCACCTGCCTGGGTATAAGTGTTGACTTCTCTAGAATTCATTCCAGAAATTAAAAAAATAAATTGAATAAGTGATGGCTAATGTGAGTTTAGTCAACTGAGGGAGATGTGCTGGAGAGCCGAGGAGAAAATCCCCAACAATACACAGTTGAACAGTTACAATGTTAAAGAAAACAAAACCACATTTTAAATAGTTAATTGTTTTAAATGATGTTGGATCGTGTAGTAGCAGGAATGCTGATTAGAATCAACTTTAAGTATAGTTCCCTAGTCCCCGTTTCCTGGAACAGAAATGAGTAAGCAATGCTGCCTTGATACTTTAGGTGGCTATTTGTAGATCCAAGTGTGAAGGAATGTGAAGAAATGTTACAAGGGTTTATATGAGTCAGGGCAGTAATTTTGTTCTTTGCCTAATGTCTGTCACTTGCTTTTGAGTTCCACATACTGATTGACTGTAAGAAAATCTATTCCTTTAGACTCACTAGAAGATTTAATGAGTTACTGTCAAGTCCCTTGTTTTCTTTTTTGTGGGTAGATAAAAATGTTGATAGAAGAATTGCTGATTGTGAATTACCAGAGGAAAAAAAATATTTTTGTAGACGTCGACTATTGTGATCTAAACCATATATACATGTCTTCTTAGAGTAGTGTTAAAGCTATACTTTTTATGTTACAAACATAAACTGGCATTACTGCTGGGAGGAATTGGTCCTGTCTGTCTCCTGGTGCATTTGAACTATATCAGAGGATTGGTCAGAGTTTAAAGCTAACAAAGTAAAAAAATTAAAAAGGGGGAAGGGTAGCATGGTAGTGGGGGGCAGTGGGTTTTTTTGGTGGCTTATCCTGGTGTAAAGGTGACTGATTTGCTGGCATTTAACAAGCAGGGAACTTATTAAATGTTCAGAGAGCTGATCCAAAAATGAACTAATAATTCTGTTTTCTGATAGTGGTTTTGTGTTCACTTGCTGTTACATGCAAAACTGTCAGTGCAGGAAAGAGAGCAGAGCTTATGATCCCTGATGAGGAAGACCTTGGTTGTAGTATTTCTGATTTAAATGGGTTTAAGTTCCTATGGGATTGTATGCTCACAATTTGGGTCACTGTTCTGAATTGCAGTGTGTAGCCCCATTTGCTCACTGATCATTTAGTTACTGTTAAAAAGTTTGCACATACTTCATGGACATTCATACTTGCTTCATGACCAACGTCTGTGTTAGAAGACTGTGCCTTCTAATAGTTTTAAAGCCATGTTTTAATTTTGGCAGCTGAGAGAAGTAACTTTCTTAGCATGAGAATTTAATATGTTGGTGTCAAAGAATATCAGCCCTTCCCACTAGCATGCTGCATTGATGACCATGACATATGAGCTTCTGTGTCTGAGTTAGGGTGGTCTTTCAGTGATGAATACTCACTGTCCCATATTTAAAATTAATTCTTTGTAACTGTCTTTTCTAGCTTTGAATTTAATGCTTTTCATAACCCCACTGGTTTGGTACTTCCCTTTTGTCTTCATTAGAATGTTTTTTGTTGCATTGGTTGATTAAACTTAATTTAACTTCAGTTTTGTTGGAAAGCACAGACACAGCTTTATGAAGTTAAGGGAATTCACTTGAATTGCAAGTTCAGGATTAACTTTCAGAGTGATCTGGTATAAAAAACCCGTTGCTGGCTAGTAGTCTAAGACTGTACGTGGAACTTTGGGAACAACATGATTTAATTCCAGCAATTTCTAAAATTATTAGAGGTTCTTGATGTTTTACTTACACCTTGCTGGCTAAAACTTCATTTTCTGTTTAATATGCTAAGGTTATTCTTTCAGGTGTTTGCACTTGGGAGGCTGGAGAGATTTAGTTCCTCTTGTAAAACGTATTTGTACTTTCATGCTAGCTATTCCAGCTATTGTCTACCTAATATCTGCCTCATTTAAAAGTATTACTCCTTGACTGTTTCTGTGGTTCGCAGCTCCAAATTGGTCTTGTAGCTGAACTTGTCAAAAAAACATTAGTATCTCTTCTGTGCATCATTAGTAAATGGTGTTTAATACTGTATTGATAGCTGTAGGAGATATATTTATTACATAGATGGCCGCTAGAGTTTCCCCAAGTAAATGTGTTTAGTTAGTTCTACTCTTAGAAAAAAATAAATTTACTGGGCAGAAAGATAATCCAGAGTGCAGTGACTTCTGTGCATCTGAGAGCTGTGACCCCATTATCCCATGGATCAGCATCTCAGAATGGGCATTTTAGGTGGGTGAAGGAGAGAAGGGCCGTGGACTGAGCAAGGTGGTTCAGCGGCCAAGTTAGTTGGGTACAGCAGGGTCTGGGACAGGGTTCTTTGTGGCAGAGCAAAGAGCACAGCTTCACATGCGGGCTCGGTGAAGAAGGACTGTCAGGCTGCAGCTGTTGTTACCTCTTTCTTAACCTCTGCCTGTCCTCTCTACAGCCAGTTGTGAAGAGAGCAGACAGGAGAATGTAGAGATAGCAGGCCTGGCCTAGTGTCAGATGCTCTTTGGTGTTCTTGTCCCACCAAAATACTGCGTGTTGCTTGATGGGAATCCTTCCTCTGCGGGTTTCCATGGTTCCTCTGTAGCTAGCAGTTGTCTTGCATAGGATACGGGTAAATGCTTTCATCAAAATGTGGGTAAAGCTATCTTGCTATTTTGATGCTTCTAAGAAGTCCTTGAAAATGTAGGTGGTAGACATTTTAGAGGTCCAGAAATGTCTTTTAACACTTGGATAGTGAACCAAGGCAAGGAGAAGAATGAGTGGTGAGGGGAGGGAAAGGGAAGTCATTAAAATAGGAACTTTATAAATTGGTTTTACTGTGTCCTGGAGCTACTGCTCTTATGCAGTTTAGGTGGCCCCCTGAAAATAAAGGGTAATTTTGATCTGAATTCAAACAAGCCTATCGTGTAATTCTGATGTTTGGACAACAGTGTATTGCTGACTTAAGATTATAACTTCTGTGCTCTGGTAAACTTGTAGTTGCTTGATAACATAATTACCACATAATTTTGTTGTTAAAATAAACATCACTTTGTTCTCAGATTGCAGCTCTTGACCTTGACCTGTTCTTGTAATACAAAATAATATTCATAGTCTTCCTCAAAAATACCCCAACAAACTGGAAAAGCCTCAGATATTGAGGTCCTTAAAATGGAAAAAAAAAAATGTGTAAGAATATGCTGCATGTAAGAAATAGTTTCTAACAGTTTATGTAGACATGTGCTTTATGAATGGATAAGTAACACAAATTTTCATGCCTGTACTATGCAACAACATTCACGTATTATGCAGCATGCAAAAATAAAGCCATTCACTATATCAAGAAGCTTGTAAATTGAGTCTGGTAACCAAAACTGGAGATAAGAAGTATTTGTTTTTGTTAAAACACAAGTGAATATTCTTGTGGGTGATAACAGGGAAGTTGTCTGAGTAATTTGAGTTGGGTAATTTTCATGTCAGTAACTATGATTAAGGGGGAAGCAAAAGGAATGTGTGGTCTCAGGTTGGTGAAAGCACAGGAGGGTAGGGGTGAATAGGTGGGCTGAGTCAAGAGAAGGAAACAAATGGAGCATTTAAACTTTCTCCTCACAGACAAGGAGTGGCAGGGAATTTCTTGAGAGATCAGGGTATGCAGGGATGCTGGGATTCTAGAGCATCTTAAGACAAGAGTAAGAAATCAGAGACAAAATTATGAACAGTGTCTAATGATTTGTCAATAGCAGTCTCATGTGAATTGAGTCTTTAGGTAAGTTTTTTTCTTGGAATTTAGAGCTACCTCACCAGGTACAGAAGAGATAGCAAAGAATTGCAAGTCCTACTGAAATGTGTAGTCTTAGATGAACTGTGGCTTACTTCTCCTGTGAGAAAATTTGGGAAATAAATATTTAACTTTAACTGTGGTAGTTTTCTTCTTCGACCATAGTATTTTCTAATGTGACAGACTAGTGATTGGTGGCTCCTCTGCTGTTGCTTTTAAATGGCGTTTTCTCTCCTAGGGTTTGGACGTGGCAGAGGGAGAGGAGCGGGGAGGTTTTCAGCCCAAGGCATGGGGTAAGAAACATGCAGAGCACAGATTTTGGCAAGGATCAAACTCAGTGGCAATATTAAATAAGAATATTACCACTGTATGTATTAATATTGCTGTATGTTTGATAAAACAGTAAGGATGCAAAAATTCCTAATTCTGTTAGATAATTAATGGATTACTTTTGTCTTAAACTAGTATTTCTAGCTAGACAGACCTATAGAAACATAATGTATGTTCACTCAATGTTAATATCTCAAACTTGGAGAACCTGTTTGTATCTATCAGTAGCAGCCACATAGTGCCTTGGAGGCTGAAAGTTCTGTGTGGTGCATATAGTCCTGGGTCAATGTAAAAATAGATGTGTTACAGTGTAATGTAGAATATGCGAGTTCTATATAAAACTGGAAAGTCTAGCAATTATAAACTTTTCCTGGTTTTGAGGTTTCATGCTTTAGCTGTTTGGACATACATGGAGCCTAAAACAGGCCCAAAAGAAGTTACTCAGCAGTTCTAAAGTTTGTTCTCAGTTTTGTTCTAATGACTTGCTTCATAGAAGTGTAGCTTCCACTACTTCCGCTCAGTGTTTGCCTTTAATGACATTTCATGTGATATCAGTGATGTCATGATGAACAGGTTCATTCCATTTCTCTAATAATTCTTCTTGTTCATACTTGTAGATGATAAACTGAAAAGAAGTTTTTCTTCAGTAATTTTTTTTCACGCTTTTAGCTGCATCTGTTTGTTTTGGCATTAGTGTCAGGAGTGCATTCTGAAATAATCTTCCTGATGTTCCGACTCCTGTCCTGCGCAGGTCTGGTGCTCTGAAAGGACATGATACTGGTTTCTCATCAGTCAGCCACCTGCTGAGAAACTATCAGCTGAGAGGGGCTTATCGTGCATATAAACTAATGCTTTATAAGACTGGGAGGAGTAGGTATGCTGTTTAACTGCTTTTTCAGGAATTGTTGTTTTGGTTCAGTTTCTCTAAAGTAATATTTTTTCCAGTCTCCTCACTTTTTTTCTCCTCTTCTATTCTCTTTTCTCCCTGTTTTTATCTGTGTCTACTCATAGAGGAAAATTCATTTTGAAACCAAAACTATCAAGATAAATTATGTGGAAATCGAGATATTAAATCTAATACAACTTCATCTAAAAATGATGACACTTGTGTTCATTGAATGACCCATGTGTTCTCTTCCATTTCTTAACTTTTAAAACTCTAGGACATTTAACCCTGCAGACTATACGGAGTCTTCTGCCACTGATGGCTTTGGGACAAAATCAGAGATTTGGGAGACTGGTCAGAATGATGCAGATGATGGAACTGGTAAGATGCTTCAAGAAGTGGAAGGATTGGAATGAAGACCTGTAGCAAATTGTCTGTTAGTGTTCAGTTAACTTCTGAAAATGTGAACAGATCTCACATGACACAGATACTAGTTTTTGTAGCTTAACTGCTACTAATGTGCAGAGCACATGCTGTAGCCTAAGTGACTATCTGGTTAGAATAAAGTGAAGGCAATTAGCAGGTTTTTTGCTTTAGTACTAACGATCCCTTTAGAGAGAAAGGAGTTTGAAGAGTTATTGGAAGAACCTAGTATGTGAAGAACTGGGTTTAGATATCTTAAGTACTGCTTAAGAACTCACCTAATGTAATTAAGGAGTATAAGTCCTACTAGAAGTGATTGGTCCACAGGCATTGGGCAGTAGGGTGTGAATAACTAAGTAGAACAAAAAGAAAAGAAAAACTGTTTACAAATATGAATCCACTCAGTGACACTAGGATGGCTTTGAAAGCCCCACCTATACAACACAGGAATGTAAGGATGTGAGTCTCCGGGATGGAAAAGAGAGTTCCAAGATCTGCCAACTTTGAAGAGAAGAATTATTAACCAAAGCATGAGTAGGCACTTGAATGCCTACTCAAAAGAGCAGTCTGCCTGCCTGAAGGTAGAGGCAGCTGTGTGTTTCCGTATAAAGTTTCAAGTGTGAAGTACGTATTCCTGGCTAAAGGCAAGAGACAGACATAGTTTGTAAAGAAACCACTTAACAGTGGTCTCCTGGTGATTCAGAAGTTATTAATGTGACCTACTTGTCTGTGATTGGGAAAACAGGATACCTTGCTGCTTCCCATATTCTGTGACAGGAGCTGAAGACAAAGGAAACCCTGTGTCAGGACGGAGTAATTCATGTACGTTGTTGTCCACGCTTGGGAACCATTGGGTGATAGCAGATAATTTTTTTTGTTAACCCCAGCAAAGAGTAACTCTTCTGATCTCTTCATTGCTGAAGCCTACTCAGATGATTTTTTTCATCAATCCTGTGTGAAGTGTGGAAGGAAGAGGCTGACACTGGAGGCCAGGGTGTGCTCCGTTGAGCTCTACTGTGAGCTGCTTGAGATGCAGCTTCCTAATCTTCATACAAGCCATTTTCCACTTAACCAGAGAAGACAATAACAGGCTCAGAGTTCAGGAGGGCTTATTAGGCAGCTATCTTGTCATCCTGAGTGCCTTCTAGTTCAGTGTGGAAGAGTGGCCCTGTGTATATTAATGGCTATTGAAAGGAAGCTCTTTTTATCAAATATGGATCTTTCCAAGAAATTACTTCTGAAATTATTTGGTTGTATAGCGCAAACAGAAATGCACTTTTTACTTTCACTCATGTTAGGTTTTCAGATAAGTTTATCAGATCATGAGTTAGAATAACACTTAATGACTTGAAAATTCCTTTAGGAATACTGATACTGTTGTTTGCTGTACAGTAGCAGGGGTCAGGGAATGTTGTCACAAGTATTGTAGAAGCAATAAAGTTAATTAAAGAAGACATACAAGAAAGATATGAGGAGAGTGGACCAGAGGTAGAAAATTGACTGATTTGATGCATTATAATGAATGCAACTGTAAGGCTGTGGCTTACAAATGACTTTGACTTGTGTTCCACTTTCCAAGTGAGCTCGAATGTTTTGTGACCCTCCCTGCTAACTCGGCAGCCTTCATGTGCCTCCCCTATGGCAACCTCTGTTCCTTCTTGTAGTCATCTTCTCAGACTTCAGAAATGGGAGAATTCTGCTAGGAATAATAGTAGCTTGGTGTGAGTAAATAGATCCCCATAAGAGTATGAGTGTGTCTGCATGAAGAGTTTGCTGCTGAGCAAAGAGATTGGTGGAACTTGTGTACTAGTTGATGTTTAGAACTTCTCTTTGGATGCCAGGTGCGTTTTTCCTGTTAGGCTGTGCACATGTCACTGAGAACTGCACTGAGCTTCAGTGGCGCAACTTCAGGCATGCATGGAAAGTTGGGGAGTATAGTATGGAGAAGATGTGAGAATGCATTTGGGAATTTTCCCTGGTATAATCAGATTAATGGTTCTTAAGGGTATGAATGAGTGCCAGTGTGGGGCGTTCATGCAGAATCATTTTGTTAGTGGAAATTTAAAGTAAGCTAGTTAAGTGTGAATGTTCTTTTTGGGTGTAAAGTACCTTTTTGCTGCTAATCTTCGTTTATTTTCAGTGCAAATAGAAAAGGCACTGTAACTGATGAAACAAAAATGTCTTTATATATAAGACTATAGGAAGAGCGTTTTATTTTACAGTGTTTCTTTAGAGGAGCCATACTGAATGTCTGAAATGTCACCGAGCCAAAAAGAGGAGATCTCTTTAAAAAGAGTAGGCTTTAAAGTTGAATCATTTAGTTTTTTCCAAGTGGGAAGCACTTTTAACCTTGTGATGGAAAGCATCTTGAAGGTTATTAGAGGAGGCTGCAGCTGGGGTAGTAGTTTTAAAGCAGAAGAGAGAGTGCTGTGAAGGAGCATGGAAGCAGGGATAGAGGGAAAGAGTGGCAGACGAGGTATGGGACTGGAAGCAGGCTGTACAAAGTTGAGCTGGTGACTTGATTGTTAATCTAAAATATTTAAACTAAAGTTTTCAGTTGTTTGGGTTTTTTTCTTAATTTACAGTGCTGTTACATTAGTTACAAATCAACAGTCCTGGTAATAAGTAAGTCTCCAATGTGGAGTTACTGAAGATGTGAATGAGGGTGATGTATGGAAATCCATAACCTACAGTGGGCTTAATGAAGGTTGTCAGATAAGAATATACACAGAGGAAGGGCAGCATGCAAATCACTTTCCTTATTCCTCGTTACCCAGTCCCATTTCTTCTTTCATCTAAAAAGAAAGAACAGAAAATTAGCTCGTACTAGCTACTTGGAAAATTAGTGTCTTTCATCTGCAGTTACATTAAAAAGGAGATAACCGGTCAAATAACTGGAGAAGCAAAACCCATTTGCTTATCAAAATGTTTTTTGAAGACATCATGCAAATATAAACTTTGTGGAGTTCTGAGTGTTTACTAAGTATTTAATCTTTAAACTGGTGCTGGGAAAGGATCAACATTAACATTTTCAATTAAAAAGAAATACACTATTTGTTTCCAAAATGTCATTTCCCCTGTATGTTCTCTGAAAGCATTCTAGAACCTCTTGTCCTGAATTGTTGTAGATGCCAGAGGAATTTCAGTAGCCTGTATGAGAGGTGTTTCTAGGTGCACCATCATGTTATCCTCTAGAAAAACTATCTGGTTCTGTGGAGGTAAAATTTTGTGGTGTTCGTTGAAATAAAAAGAGGCTAAAGGGCAAATCTTTAATGGGTCATGATGTTTAAGTGTAATTGTATTCCAATTCATCATCTTTTTTCCTGCATCCTTCTTTTTATAGAAATAATGTACAATTGGAAGGCAAAGGAGGGGTGGGTGAGAGGAAACAAAATGACCAATCCTCATCCAAAAGGGAATAAATTTGAACAGGGTGATTAATACTCTTTTACAGCCATGCCAACTGTTCAATCTTTTACCTTTTTTGTAATGTATAAGGTAATGGAAGATCTTGAGTGACAAATCACAGCAGTTCTTAGAAATAAATTATGTTGGAGGTGGTCACTTCTCAAAGTAGGTTATAAAAATGGTATTGTATTGTGGTTATTTAATGATGCCTCTATGTTGCTAGAGTTTCATAAATTCCACAGAAAAACTTCATTTGTTATCTTAGTTATGAACAGCTTTAAATGACTCTGAAACTGAAAACTGTCAAGAAATAAAAAATAAATTATAGTGTAGCTGTGGGGGGAATAACGAAATTGTGTAGCTTGGAAGTTAGAAGAAAGTTGTTTGGTTTTTTGTGGTTTTTTTTTGTTTGGTTTTTTTTTTTGTTTTTTTTTTTTTAAGTACTGCTGTAAAAGTCAGAAAGAACATTTGAAGGAAGCCTTCAGGCCATTCTAGAACATTAATGTATTTCAGAATTAACTGATTAGTACATAAATTTGGGGTAGACCAAGATAAAATTATTTTGGGGCTAGTACCTACGGCTGTTTTTTCAAAAAAAAAAAAAAAAAGAGAAAAAATTCAATAGTGTGACAAGGAGTGAGAAATTGGAGGAAAATAGCTGAAGACTTACATATTGTATACTTTTTCTTGGCTTTATAACTGTCTAAAACTGAAGTTGGTATGAAGGGAAACAAGAAAGAGTCACAGATAGCCATCTAGGCTGAAGTTCCTACGAAAAGGATCCTTGAAAACACAAAGCATAATGTTGGTAGAAAACAGAGAACTTTTAAGTTGTGATGCTTTGAAAGCATGGGGGAAGGGTTAGGAGGGGGATATATGGAGTTGCAGTAATGCCAAGGTGGATTTTTGACTAAAAGGGAATTGATGCACTTGTGGCAAGATCAGACTTAGAATCCCATCAGTAGGAGGACGGTGTTAGCAAACTGGATTTAATGCAGAGAAGTGCAGTGAAATAACAGGATGGAAGGATTGAGTTGGGAAGGTAGAGTGTTAATAAGAAATAATAGTAAACTGATCTTGGGTAAACTAATAAAAGGGTGAAGGCTTGTGTTCAGTATTTAAAAAGAGTAAATGCACAGAACCGTGTTCATAAATAGGAGCAGCAGATAAATGTTTAAATTGAATGTCAGGAAGATGTCCCAGGTATTATTCCAAACAGGTTCGGTCTCCCAGTGGTGGTGGGGGAGGCTCAAGGGTTGGGCTGATTTATCTGAGTTCTTTTTGTGTTTGTTTTAGCAGACTCCAAGCTCCGTTCTAAGAGTTCTGGCGCCGGCATGATGTATGTCTCCTACACAGGCAGGCTTTACTCTGACTGATGGGAAATAAATATAAGCAGAGTAAGTAACAGGATATAGTTCTGTAAAGAAGGAATACCAGAGGAAGGGATACTGTGTTGATCAGGGGAAGAGAAAGCAACTGTTTGTCTAAAGACTCCTGCTCTTTGGGCTTTTCTTCCTTTCTAAAATTTCTGTGCAAATGTGTGGATTAGTTTAGAAATTTGAGGCCCTGTAGTAATTTTGCTCAGATATGTTTATTAGTTATTTTACAGCATGTAGAAACCTCCTGGTTAGGAACCGTTTGGTAAAATGTGAGCATGAGATGTTTCAGGCGATCCTGTATTGCTCCACAGAGCCAACACAGAGTGGATGTTACCTTGCTCAGGACCTGCCAAATAATTTTGGATTCAAAGGTATAATTCTCCTCTCTTCTCCCCATCGTGTGTGTATCTTCATGGTAGGCCTGTTCGCCTCACTGGGTTAGTGCCATTTGACCCTCCTCTGCCCAAGACACTGCTTTGCAATGATGTACAAAAGAGTACCCTAACGCAGTGATGGCATTAGTACAACCTGGATTTGATGCTGTCTTGAGGGGGCTTGTTTCTGGATGAATGTGTCTCAGAGGGTTCCTGGTTCAGGAAAGGATGATGATTAAAGCAGTAGTTCTTTTGCTTTTGTACTTGATCAAAGGTGACGGTAGCAGGAACTGTACTGCTGGGGTTTTCTTCGCTCGTGGTTATGTAGTTTAAATGAAAGCTTTGGTTGTTGGTGGGATAACCTTCCCTGTCCTTACACTGGTAGGCAAGGCCTCGAGTCCATTTGTTGTTCTTGCATGTCTATGCCTGCTGTTTCCTATTGAAGGGATCAGGCTTTTGCATCTGTAGGATTGTTTTTGTAGTTTTCCCAACCTGCGTACTGTGCTCCAATGTTGGTCAGATAAACTCTGCCACAAGTTATGGGAAGAGGTGTTTAGCAGCTACAGTGGAAGCTTATTGACTCCTCTGCTGCCATTAAATGCATTATGTATGTTTTAAAATACAATTGCTGTATCAGGGGAAGGGATTGGGGTGGTTCTCCCTTGAGGTTGGAAAGGAGCCTCCAGAGGTATAGCTTGGGTCTGGAATTTGAATATGATGTTATGGATGTTGGAGCAGGTGTTGTGGTTGTGTTTTGTTCAGGCTCTGTATGAATTTGTGCATGAAACTGGGAGATCCCGTGGGAGGGTTCAGTAACCTCTCACTGTTGTTGGGGACAGGAGGAAGTTATTCCAATATTTGGGATTAATCACTGGTTGCAGACATGTGTTTGTGCCAATTATGTCTGGTACCATAGTGACTAAGAAATTCCTGAAATCATAAATTAAATGCAAAAAAACCCCTGCAACTCCCAAAGTCTTAAATCTGCAGACTAATTTTCTAGAGCTTCCCATGTTTCCAACCACCATCTCCTCACTTTGTGTTCCACTAATAATGAAAACATGATTGCTTATAAAGATGAATGGTTGAAATTCAGCATGGTGCTTTTAGCTTGTAACTGTTTTCTTTCCTTCCCCAAATTATAATAGGAGCATGGAAAAACTCTATAGAAGAATGGACAGCAGAAGACTGGAATGAAGATGTAAGTGTACCTTGTTGGATAGACTGATTGATTGTTTACACTTTTCAGAGTTACTGTATTTTCTTCAAAATTAAATGTTTGAAGTAATACTTTTCTGTATGCATGCAATGATATTTCTTACTGTGTTTCTTGCTGTAATTCCTGTTTAAATACATATATTAAGATAAGATTATTTTTTAAATAAAATTGAATCAAGAAATGTTAATTTACTTTGCTGGGTAGACAACACACAGATAATAAAAGTTTTCTCCCAGATTAAGTATTTGTGAATTACAATTCTCTCGTGCTCAATGCAGATGGGTGTTAACTGCATACTTCCCCCTACTATTATGTAGGGATTTAAAGCCATATTATCACAAGACTTTTATATAATTAAGTGATGAAGCTTACTATCGACTTTAGACTCCTCATTTAATGCTTTTTCTTTGAAATCTGCAGAATTGTTCCACTTAGTCCACTTCGTGTTCATAATATTAAAAAAATGAGCTAGTAGTATGCTGAAGATAGCACTTAATTGCTTCATTCCTGTTGTTTCATCATGATGTGCTGCCTCAAGTACTACAGTATTGGTTCTCTTTTTATCAGGCAAGAGATATTTTCATGTCTGCAAAATATTTGGCATTTGTGATTCTTTCATGTGAAAATTGTGTTTGTGATTTTAAGTTTTCAGTTACTGTATTAAAGCTTAAGCAGTTCGGAAAACAAACGAAGTGGCAAGAAATAAGGAAAGGAGAACTTAGCTTTTAAGAAGTTTCTAATCTTTTATAGGAATATCCACGATTTCAAGTTTGTTTTCAGAAGGGTAAGAGATTGTCTTGGAAGTCATCCTTTTTGCCTCCTCCTGTAGTGTGGCATGTCAGTGCTATCCCTAGAAAGGTATGAAAGTTTCGTATAGCAGATACGAAAACTCTGCCCTTACCTAATGAGGGCTGTGTCTTCAGAGAAAGTTAAAAGAAACTCTAAAATTCCTAGGCTTTTGCATCAGTGACTGCCAGCAAAAGCTGTCATCTTTTTTGAACCTGTACTCTATTTCTGCAGTATATGCTAGAGGTAGACTAAGGGCTAAGGATAGTGAAAATTTCTGGCCTTGTTTCTTCACCCGTGTTTGATGCTGGTACAATACAGCATTTGTAGTATGGAGGTTGAGCAATGCTGATTAGGGATAGAATTTTTAAAATTAATTATTAAACCTGAGTAATTTGGACATCAATCTTGAAAGAGCAGAAGATGAAATCTGTAGCCTGTTGTTAATTTTTATTAATTTTAGAGTCCTGGAAAAATCACTATAACCTAGGAGAAAGTTGTTCATGTGCTGTTGTTTAGAAAGAGTGAATGAAATGTCGAGCTGCAGACAGATTAGCCCAGAACATGCCTGGGGAAAAATAAAGGAAAAATGTATACATCTGATTTATAAAAATAGAAGCAAAAGAATACAGCTTGTGCCATTCAGTGTAGTTTTATGGAGAATAGCTCCCCTTCAAATAAACCTGATCTTGGTCTTTAAGTAAATGATGAGTTAACTGTGGCGATAGAGTATGTCCTTATAAGAGATGAATGTGGGCATTTCTAGGACGACTACAAAGGAATCCAGTTCCCAGGCCATCTAGTGTCTTTATTAAAGATCTGGAATTCAAAATCAAATCACTGCTGAATAAATTGTGTGGGGAATCCAAAAATTATTGGAATGGCAATTAAAAGTAAGCCAGTCTTGCACAGAAATCTGGACTTCTAATAGACTTGACCTGTTCAAATTAAAAATGCTTTAATATGGCCAAGTGCCCATTTGTTTTGTAGGGATAAAGGCACACCTGCAGAACAAGGGGCTGTTTTCTGGAAAGCAGCAACTGAAAAATTTTCAGGATAGCAGTGGATGATGAAAAAAGAACAGCTCAGCATGATCTCCTAAAGGGCTGATGCTGTGGCAAAAAAAAAAAAAAGCTATTGTAGTCTTTTTGCCTGTAGGCATACTTCCCTGTCTCTTAATCATTCTTGATTTATATTTCTGTATGCTGACTCTCCTGAACTTGATTCTGAAGTACTGCATCCAATTATTCATTGCTTTTACAAAACAAAAATTGTGGAAAATAGCTAAACATTATTTACTGATAGAATTGGTCCTTGAGAGTGAGATTTTTAGTTCACTGAATCTCAAGAGGTTACTTTATTAGTGTGTAATAGACTCTGGTTTTAGTCTAGGAGACTAAGGCATAAAATGAAGCTGTGGCTAGAAAATAGAGCTGCACATTTAAATGTATAATAAACAATTCTAGCATCATGACTAATGATTAAAACAACCAAAGTAACTGATGTATTTGCTGTCTGCAGATAAAGACCAGGTGTTTTTCTGAAGAGTATTTCTGTTTAAATGTGGTGTTCCCTAGTCAGATACAATGACATTTAATGTTGTTTGACCTGAGAAGGATTAGATATTTAGGACCTAATATTTCTGTCAGGTATTTATCTTTAGTAGTGAATATTAAGCAAATATAATAGGTTGTCAATATGCTTTTAAACAGAGTGGAAACTAGTTACAGTGAAAACTGGAGGTTGTATTTTGTTAAAGGGGTATTCAAGGCATGGACAATGATGGACCAGACAAATGTTTAAGTACTGTGGATGCCTCTGGGGTTTCGTGTTAAAATTATGATCATATTCTCCTGGCTAAAGAAAATAAAGTTTAACAGTAGAAGCTATCAGAAGGGGAGAACTAGAATGCATACAGATTTCCTGGAAATGGATCAAGGCAGACATTTTCTGAACAACATCGGTAGTCTTAGTTTTTATTGAAACAACTACAACGCTTTTGAAAAAAAAAAAAAAAAAGTATTTTAGTGGGAATGTTTCTTTTACAGGGAAGCAGCATGAAAATTTACTGTATTTTCTTTAGCTTCAGTATGTCGTATCAAACCAGTAATAAGGTTTTGTTGCTTCTGATGTGTTGATGTTGAGTTTTTATGAGGATGCTGGAGTATATTTTCCTGTCCTCACCTATCAACTAGTCATAAGAGCTAGTAGCTAGTTGTTAAATATATTGTCTCTTTTGGTGGTTGGAGATTGACTTTCATCATAGGAATAGGAGCTGAAAAGCACAGGGATTTCACTGCAGATGGAGGAAATACCATTGTGAGGCCAATGCTTGCAACTGTTCATTCACTTCTGGGAAGATGCCAGAGCCTCAGTGAATGATGAGTCAGTTTATTTTATGGTGAGTGTAAATAACTTTGTTAGGAGCTGATAATACTACTTCTAAGAAAAACTAAATACATGTGTGTAGTAAAAATTTTCAGCTGCTGCTGCAGGAAGTATGTCTTTTGACAAATGCCGTAATCCCAGCAGGCTTCTGAATTAGGTGCTTGTTTGGAGCTTGTGGCAGTGAGTTTGCCACAGTGTTATGTAAACTTCAATGTAGCAGAGCTGGTAGCTGAAGACTTGAGTTTTTCATGCTGGTTCTGTTGAAGAGAAGGTTTCCTCTCTCATGTTAAACATGCTTTTACATTGTCGCAAACATCCTCAGGCTCCTCAGTTTGCTTAGTTTTCAGGTTTCATCAGTGTTTTGGCCACAGTTAGTCTTATTGTGAGTTATGTGAGCATAAGAAACTGTTGACATTACAAAGAATTTAATATTTAACCAAGGGATTGCAGACTATAGGTTGCTGCTCATGCCATTAGCTGACTTTCTTGTGCCATATGATGTAGGAGTCTTGTAACACTACAAAAAGCACAGTACATGTTGTTCTAAAATAACACATACAGTGGGGAAGGGGCTGAACAATACAGAAACAGCCTTTTAAACTGGAAATACTCTTGAGCTGAATCTTCTTTCTTCATTTTCATCAGTACAGAGAGCTGCAGGCTGGCAGCATTATGCACAGGACAGCAATGTGTTTCAGAAAGATGGGATTAAAGTACGTTGTATTGGCAGCAAGGGAAGGAAGGGAATGGAGGGAGGAACTGCGGTGATATTCATTTTTTCATGACAGAGTGTGTTGCACATAAGTGGGTGCTAGCAGAGTACATGGAACATTTGAACTTTGTCTCAGTGATAAGCGACTGGTTTGTCAGCCCTTCTGCATCTTGCTTAAATCAACAGTGTTTCATAGGAGAATCCCAATCAGGTGACCATGTTCAGGAACAGATATGCTTTCAGTAGAGTTGCCCATGGGATCACAGATGAAATTGGCTCATGTCCATGATGTCCTTTAAATTGGGCTGCTAACAATGTATGCAATTACAAATGCACAATATCTTGGAAGAACTGTATCCAAATGTCACTGCCCAAAGGGGTTCTTTGTGAGTATTTGAGTAGGTCAGTTATTCTTTAGTCTAAATAACAAGCTACACCAAATTAGTTAAGAATTATTTTGTGCAAATTTAATTTAAAGTATAACCATTATACTTGCGTATCTTTATCTTGTTAAACCTAACCTGTACTGGCTTGAGACCTATTCTGGTTTGCAAGTATTTCTGTGGATAGAAGTGTATTAGCCCTAGGAAGTTGTATCTGTTAGCTACTATTTTTTTTTAAAAAAAAAGAAAAGCTGTTTAAAAAAAAAACCAAAACAACAAACCCAAAAAATTACAAATGGGAAACAAATGACCTCCTACAAACCAAAATCACCCCCTCTTTCTGCAAAACCCCCGCCAACCAGGTCCCCCCTCCCCGGCTACCTATTCAAGTATCTATCTTTACTGTAACAGCATGGTGAAAGCAATACAGTTTTCTGCCGTGGATGGTCTGACTGGTTATACTAGTATAAGCAAATACATGCTTCTGCCTTTATTAGTCTTTTTGAACTCATGCTCGCAGAGCAATCGGTTTAAGATGTTATTGCCACCCCTAGCACAAATGCCAAGAAGGAACCACAAATGCTAGTTCAATGTACATACATGAGTGAAAACCTGCCCTCCACTAGTGATGTGAGCTGGAATGTAAAACACAGGGATATGTGAAGTGAATGGGAATGGTGCAATGTGTTAGGCTTTTGCAACAAGATTTAGCAGCTCCTCTGTGGAGTTCTGGATTGTCTGAACTAGGTATCTATACACTGATCTACCAGCTGTCATGTTAATTGCTTTCTACTGGTATATTTTTGGGGTAAACTATTGCTGAAACTGATGTAGTTACATTGGTATACCATTGTGTGTGTTCAGTAGATCAAGTTTCTGAACAGTTAAAATGGTATCTGATTCTGTGGAGAAGACTTTGCTGAAGTTTGACTACATGTTTTTGTCTTTAAGCACAGCTGTGGCATAGAATCATTGGATAGTTTGGGCTGGGAGGGAGCTTGGAAGGTGCTGTGGTGGTGCAACCCCCCCCCGGCAGGAGCAGGGCCCCCTCGTGGAGCAGCTGGGGTCTCTGAGGGCCCCGTCCCAGCTGAGGCTGGACGTGTCTGCGGGGCTGGGGCGTGTGCCAGCTCTCTGGGCAAGGTGCGGCAGCGTTGGAGCACGCTGGTGGGAAGCGATGTCTTCCCGGTGCCCGGCGTGAGCCTGGCCTCTGTTGGTGGGAAGCCATCAGGCCTTGTGCGGTGGGTACAGGCCCTGCGGCAAAGCGTGCGCCCGCCTTCCTTGCAAGCCCCCTTGGAGCCTGGGCAGGCGGCAGGAAGGTCTCTGCGGAGCCTTCTCTTCTCCGGGCCGAAGAAGCGCGAGTCTCTCGGCCCGTGCCTCTCGCGGAGGCGTTGCAACGCTCTGATCGTGTTTGTTGTCCTCCTCTGGACCCAGTCCAATAGGTCTATGCCTTACATGTACTGAGGGCCCCACAGTTGCATGCAGTGCTGCGTGTGGGGTCTCACCAGAGTGGAGTAGAGGGGCAGAATCCCCTCCTTCCACCTGCTGACCACACTTCTGATGCAGCTGGGGACGCAGTTGCCCCAACCCATGTGCAGGACCCTGCACTTGGCCTTGTTGAGCATCATGATGTTCCCGTGAGCCCACTTCTGGATCTTGTCCAGGTCCCTCTGGACAGTATCCCATCCCTCGGGCATGTCAACCACACCACTCAGCTTGGTGTCATCTGCAAACTTGCCGAGGGTGTACTCAGTCCCACTGTCTATGTCATTAGTGAAGATATTAAACAGCACTGATCACCATACATATCCCTGAGTGATACTGCTTGTCACCGATCTCCATCTGGACAGTGAACAGTTGACCCTTTGGATAAGACTATCCAACCAATTGCTCATGCACTGAACAGCACCCATCAAATCCACCTCTCTCCAATTTAGAGAGGAGTATGTTGTGGGGAACTGTGTCAAAGGCCTTACAGAAATCTAGATGGATGATATCCATAGCTTTCATTGTTCACTGATGTAGTAAGTCCGTCATAGATAGGCCAATATGTTGGTCAGGGAGGACTTGCCCTTGGTGAAGCCATGCTGGCTGTCTCAAATGACCTCACTGTTCTCCAGCGTAACTAGCTGTAATGGTAGTTTAACTTTACTTTTGTCTTGAAAGTGTGTGACCAAGGTGGAGTTTTTGAAGATGTTGCAGCAGTGAAGTGTGAGCATGTGTATTATTAAAATGCCTTTTTCCCCCCCCCGCTCTCTTTTTTCAGCTTTCTGAAACAAAAGTCTTCACTGCTTCCTCTGTTCCAGCTGAGAATCATGTTACTCCATGTTACAAAGGTAAGCTGCTCTTCCACATTTTCCCTATATCTTAAAAACCTTCTGCTTGATGAAGCAATGTTACCTTGCACATAAAATGTTGAATAAAATACAGGGCAGCCCTGGTCAGAGATTGGTCAAGCTAATTTCAAATTTGCAGAAGCTTCGCTGGTAGATTGTTGGTTTTGTGGCTTCCTCTGTTACCTATTATTGACTATGGAAGGAGGTAAACTTACCAGAAAAGACTATGTCTTCTGCACAAAGACTGCTTACTGGCAGGAACAAAATTACCTGGGAAGAAAAGTTTTCTTGTGTTGAAAATGAAGCTCTGTCTTTGCTGTCCAGAAAATGGAAAGCCTGCCCCTGTGGATTAAGAAAGTGTTCAGAGCATAGTGCTTTGACAAACATGTTAACACAAAAGCTTGTGTAGGCAAGAAGGTGAATTTCCTGGTAAGCATCATAATTACTTGCCTTAACTGATGACATAGAGTTCGGATAGAGAACCAAAAATATGGCGGTTTCTGCCTTCCTTTGCTTGCCTTTGTCTTCACCAAATGCCTGGCTGATGATCTTCTGGAATCAGATGCCTGCATTAGCCCGAGGTCCCAGGAAAGCAGATTAAACTCATGTGATAAAGACTTTGGCATCATGAGATCTGAAAACAAGATAGCTTGACGGTTCCGAACATCCTGATACAGCTGTACTGCAGTACTCCAGACTGCAGCAGAATTTTCCGTATAACACAGATGTGATCTGGAGGAGTTCTGGTGTCAGTTGTCTACAGTTTATATTCCTTTCCTTCTTAAAGGTGATATGCTCACATATTCATTGTTCTAATGCAAATACTGTTCCAGTGGGTGTCTCTCAAATTACGCTAAGAAATACTGTAGTCCACCAGCTCGAATTCTGGTGTTTTGTTTTTTGGGTTTTGTTTTGTTGGGGGTCTGCTTGTTTGGTTTTTGGTTTGGTTTGTCTTTTTTAATTGCCATAAGAAAGGTTTGGGCTTTAAGAATCGTATGCTAATGAAAGTGCTGGGGGCAGGTTTTAAGCCCAGGCATTTAGGATAATCTTATGTCATAATTTTTGGAGTAGATTTATTGTCTTAATGCTTTGCTTTTCCTTGATAAACCTGTGCTAAACATGTAGTAGGGGTTAGTAATCCATGTTAGATATAAGAAAATGCATGTTTCTCATCCTGCTCAAGTATGTGTGATAGAGTAATTTTGGATATGTGCCTACTGTCTGAGAAACTTAGCTTTTATTTCTGCAGGTCTTGTGACTTCCATGTTATGAGATACTCAATCACTGCATGTGGGACTTTATTCTTTACTGACCTCATACCCCCCCCCCCCCCCCCCCCATACAGAAGTAGGACTTAGATCCCTTGCTCTTTTTAAAGGGATAGTGTGATATACAAAGAATGTGGATTATTATCTGCAGTTATTTGTCTGCATTAATCACATGGGTTATTTATGTGATACATGATGTTATAAATTTGATAATGTTTGAAAAGAGTGCAAAAATAATTTATATTCTAATTTCAGTGGAAGGTTTTAGCTGGTGGAGTATTACTTTCTGGGAAAAACCTCTATTCTAAGTCTTTTTGTATGGCAGACAAGCAATATTTGGAAAGACTGTTAATCAGTAGTAATTCTGTTGCCAGTATGGCAGCGTTAGTATTGTTATTGCTTTCTTCAGTTTCAGCACAACCTAATCATGTTTATTCCAGCCAAACTTTTGCTTTTTCTTACAGCATTGATTTGGTAACACTGCTTCAAAAGCCAGTGACTTCGACTCAAGAGACAGAAGGCAACTCATTTGAGGGTCCTCAGCAGCAGACCTTTGGCCAAGCCCTAGTCTTCACAAATTCTCAGCACAGCACCCAGATGGCATCAGGAACTGGCAGCTCCAGTGTTGTAAACTCTTATTCTCCTCAAAGTCTGGTAAACTTATGCTTTTTAAATATTCTTCATGAGTAAATATTTCAAGTTAAGCAACTTTTCCAGTACTGGTCATTTCATAAGGTGTTCCGGTATTTGTAAAATTAAGGATGCAAATGTTGAAGGGATGGAATTCTTAATTCCATTCACACACAAGCACAAAAAAAGATCACGTTTTTTTCTGTTTTTAATAAGTAGCTGTTTCTCGGTTTACATGAAGTACTTGTATTAATTTTTGAGTAGAGAGCAGATGCATTTATTGCATGCTGATTTGAGATGAAATAATTTGTTTATATTGAAGAGTTCTGTGCCAGAAAACTATGATGTGCTGTTTCCAAGCACATATGTCACTGCTTTTTGTGATAACTTGCCTATTTCTGAGTCAGTTGAGGGGGCTTGAAATTTGACACATATTCGTTCTCTGAAAATGAGCTCAACTATTAGTAAATATACGTTATTTTAAGATGCATGGATTCAAGAAGATCAATATTGTTGCAACCATGGTGGTGGAAGTTGTAGCAGTGATAATCAGAGAAGATCTGGTCGTATGCTACAACTGCTGAATTTTTTTATTGTTTGTTAGTAATCTAGTGCTGAAGAGGTTTTAGTTGCTGCCAAATAACAGCTGTAGGCATTGACCCTATGACTATGTTCAGAGTATTTATTGAATACTTAACTTCACTCCTTCTCATCTTCTTTTTTGTCTTTTGATAGTCTGCAGTTCTTTGTTCTGGCTTTGGAGAACTGGGATCCTCTAAATTGTCAAACTCTACTGGATCCCAAATCTTGGACCAGTTTAAATCTCCAGGATTGGGTCAGTTTACCTCTCAACAAAACAATAGTAGCTCTACCACCACTACCACTACTACGACATCATCCTGGGATCTAAAACCGCCCATTACTCAATCCTCAGTTCTTAGTCAGTTTGGTAAGTGCTTTGACATAGCTTTCTCTCTCTTCCTTTCTCTATTAGCCTATAAGGTTTCTTAATGTCGGTGGCCATTTATGGTAACATACATGACGAGTGTATCACAAACTAAGTTTTGACAGGCTTAAGCCTATCCATAAATGTCATTGCACCTTTAGAAGTTGTTGAGCCTTCGTGTAATGACATCTTTGATTTAATGTGCTTGAATATTTAAGTGGAACTTTGTTGTTACTTTGTTTCTCAACAAATCATGAAAAATATTTATTCTCATTGTGTCTGTGCTGCTTCTAGCTGAGTATAATGTCGTACCATATTTTGTCTTTTTTTTTTTTTTTTTCCCCAAAATTTTTCTCTTCTAACCACTACCTGAATTTTGAATGAGTACTATGTCATTTCTTCATAATGTGCATCACATCTCGGTGTTCTTTCCCTAGTCTGCTGAGAATGGTGCGGGTTGCCCATTTTGTCTTCATAATTGTGTGGATTTTTCATTTAATTGAGTAAAATTAGTGGAAACAGTGAAAAGGACAAAAACTTGGTCTTTACAGTGTAGTTCCTAATGGTATTCTCACTGTGAAGAATGATAGCTCTTGGTATCTATCTCATGTTATGTGTGTATATGTTTCCAGATAGATAAGCAGCCAGTTTGGTAGCAGTTATAATCTTTTACACACAGCAATTCTGAAAAAATGTTTAAATACATTTTCAATTGCTTTCTAATGCACTTTACCAGCTAAATAAAAAAACCTTCACATTGCAAATGCTGTGGATCTCTTATGGTTGTTGGCCAGTGTTCTGAGCCACTGCCTGCCTTTCAGCATCTGAAAAATATGAAAGGGGAAGACATGGAAAAAGACTGTCAGTGTCCAGCATCTCTTGATTTTCAGCCAGGTTGAGATGGTAGATGACTTTGTGTTGAAAGTCTTCTCCTTTGTAGGGGTAGGAAATCCTAACTCATACCACCTCTAAATTGCAGCTCCACGCCCCTTGGAAGTAATCACATTTTATCAGAACTGTTAATTACAGTGAAGCAGTATTTGATTATGTTGTAGTTTAATGCCAGCCAGCAACTACATACCATGCAGCTGCTTGCCCACTCCTCGCCCCTCACAGTGGGATGGGGAGGAAAATTGCAAAAGTAGTAAAACCTGTGGTTTGAGATAAGAACAGTTTAATAACTAGAATAAAATAAAATATAATAACAATAATGAAAGGAATATAATAAAAAATTAGAGAAGGAAAAAACCAAGAAAAGCCAAGTAGCGCACTATGCAATTGCTTACTGCCTGCAGACTGATGCCCAAGCAGTGACCCACCCCCCAGCCAAGTCCCCCCCGTTTATATACTGGTGTCATGGTTTAAACCTGGCCAGCAGCCAAGCACCACGCAGACACTCACTCACCAGCCCAGGGGATGGGGGAAAGAATTGGAAGGTAAAGGGAGACTTGTAGGTTGAGATAAAAACAGTTTAATAATCGAAATAGAACGAAACAGTAACAATAGTAGTCCCTACAATGCAATTGCTCACCACCTGCTGACTGATACCCAGCCCATTCCCAGCCAGCGATCCCAAAAAACCCAAGATCCTGAAACCACAGTCCTGGAAGTAAGAGAGAACCTCCCCTTCCCAGCCACCCCTCCTCTATATAGTGAGATGACTTTACATGACATGGAATATTTCACTGGCCAGTTTGGGTCCGGTGCTCTGGCCGTGCTCCCTCCCAGCTTCTTGTGCAACCTGTGCATGGGCAGGACATGGGGAGTTGGAGAGTCCTTGAAACCTCAGCAACAGCTGGAAGCATCAGTGTGTTACCAGCATCCTTCTCATACCCAATCCCTTGTGAATCCTAAACGCAGAACTATTCTAGCTGCTAAGAAGGAAAACTAACTCTATCCCAGCTGAAACCAGGACAGCTGAGCATGATGTTCTGTGGTATGGAATATCCCTTTGGCTGGTTCAGATCAGCTGTCCTGGCTGTGCACCTCCTCACTGGCAGAGCATGGGAAACTGAAAAATCCTTAACTTAAGCGCTACTTAGCCACAACTAAAATGTCAGTGTGTTATCAACATTACTGTCACACTAAATCCAAAACACAGCACTGTACCAGCTACTAGGAAGATTAACTCTATTCCAGCCAAAACCAGGACAAATTAAAATCATCCATACCAGTTTTTGAGGACTATTGTGTGATAATATTATGTGAATGTATAGATAGGTTTGTTTTCATATTTTTGAAGAAAGCTAAACAAGGCTTGCCCACAACTGTCTATCTGAAGTAGAGAATATCAAATGTTGGCCTTCTTATTGTAGTGGTAATGTGCAATGTGAAACTCCTATGATGTCTGAAAGAGACTTGCACACTGTAGAATCATAACTGTCAAGTATGTCAAGTCACCCAGATTCCTTCATAAAGAGTAGAAGTGTGAATAGCAGAGTTTAATGCTTTAATTTTGATATTTCTTTTTCCCAATGCTGTCCAGACTTTAAATCCCAGCCTGAACCATCCCCAGTTCTGAGCCAGCTGACCCAGCGACAGCAACAACAAACACAGGCAGTCCCTGTTCCCCCTCCTGGGCTGGAGTCCTTCTCCTCCCAGGTAAAACTCCGTGAGCCATCGCCAATAGACACCTCTTCAGCTGTTAGCAAAATGTTACAGCTCCCTACTAGATCTATGGATAACCAGGCAGTGACTGCCCATCAAAACCAGCAGAAACAGATAAAACCACCAAAACGGAGGATAACTCCAGCACCCAAGGTGGGTAATTGCATGGTGGCTTGTCCTTAGTAAAATGTGTCAGGAGTAGTGTGGCCATCAGGACTAGGGCAATTATCATCCCCCTGTACCCGGCACTGGTGAGGCTGCAGCTTCAATACTGTGTTCAGTTTTGGGCCTCTCAAAGAGTGTTCTTCAAGAAGGACACTGAGGTGCTGGAGTGTGTTCAGAGGAGAGCAACAAATCTGGTAAAGGTTCTGGAGCATAAGCTCTGTGAGGAGCAGCTGAGGGAACTGGGGTTGTTCAGACTGGAGAAAAGGAGGCCGAGGGGAGACCTTGTTCTCTACAACTACCAGAAAGGATGTTGTAGCGAGGTGGATGTCGGCCTCTTCTCTCAAGTAAGAAGCAACAGGATATGAGGAAATGGCCTCAAGTTACAGCAGGGGAGGTTTAGATTGGATATTAGGAAAAGTTTCTTCACTGAAAGGCTTGCGAAGCACTGGAACAGGCTGCCCAGGAAGATGTTTGAGTCACCATCCCTGGAGGTATTTAAGAGGTGAGTAGATGTGTCACTTAGGGACATGGCTTAGTTGCTGGACTTGGCGGTGTTAGGTTTATTGTTGGAGTGAGTAATCTTAAAGGTCTTTTCCAACATAAATGATTCTGTGATTCTGTTCTATATATAAGTTGCTAGGGAGAAGGAGAGCAAGGACTATAGTATATTTCTTGTTTATAAAGCAGGAAATTCCAAGCTGGATAGTTTTAAGTCCAAAATACAGTGATGTTGTCTTTTCCAAGCACATATCTGATTGCTCTGTGTAGAAAATGACTGTTGCTGAGTGATTTTTGGATTGACTGAGTATCCACAATATAAATGTTGGCTGAAGAGGGATGGACACAGCTGTCACTTCGATACTGTAGAATACTGTGTCTTACTCTTTCAGCTCCAGATCAGGCCACAGAATGAATTAATTAATTTCAGGTTACAAGAATGTAGTTAATTTATGTGATGTAAACTGGGGCATTGTCACAGATCTAGTTAGCCGGGGAGGCTGAGGCAGTAACTGAAGAAGCCTGTAGTTAAGGGAGGAGAGGGTGTCAGTTACTGGTATCTTTAATACGGATAGCGCATGCAAAGGAATTACAGCCTTTTTTCCTTCCTTTAAGATTCCTGCAGTGGAGGTGCCTGGATCAGCAGATGTGACAGGGTTAAACGTTCAGTTTGGAGCTCTGGAGTTTGGATCAGAGCCTGCAATCCCAGAGTTTGGATCAACTTCAAGCAGTGAGAATACCAGCCAGGCAACCAACAATAGCTTGTACTCAAAATCTGTAAAGTACGTCCGAGTTCCCCTTGTGCATTCTTACATGTCTTCTTTAGGAGGTCAAGTTTGTGCCAAAGACATCAAGGCACAGTTACCATATGATGGAAGGGAGAAATATGATGACTTGTGAGGCTAAGTGTTTTCTGTGGATAGCATCTTAAAGGAGAAATTTATTTTCCAATGACAATCAAAATCTCCCTGGAAGGGTCGGTGTGAAGCTGGAGATGATATGAATGTAAATAACCTCATAATAAACTTACCTTTATAGAATTGCTTTCTCATGTTTAACTGTCCCGATTTTCAAATTCGTTTGAGGGTTTGTTCCTCACAACCTGAATTTTTCTGCTCTTGATCCAGGAGAGATAACCCTTGTACCATATATGTGTGTTAGTAGATTGGCACCAGATTACAGATCTGATGCTCCTGTGTGATAAGAAACAAAGCTAGGCTTTCAATATGCAGAAGCTCTTACTGAAATACTAAAATATTCAATGATAAATGCCAATGTACCACTAACCCATTTTTTGTTTCTTTACTCATTCAAAAATTGCCTTCAATAAAAAGCTTCCTGAAGTTAATTCAGAAATAGCAGTAAAAATGGAACTTTCACATGTTTTTCTAGTTTATAAATGATTTAAGCTACCTATAAACTAGAACACTTCTGCATGTCTTGAAGTATTTTTCCTTCTTTGCATAGTTCGTGCTGCTAGGCTGGTACTGTTGCATTAGAATTCTATTATAAAAAGAGATTGGGTGTTTCTCTTCATATACTGGACTTTGTGGATCTAGTTGTTTCAATAAGAGAAATTATGATCATTAATTTATCCTTTGAGAAGGTGGAAATGACTGTAAAGTGCTTGTGTGTAAACTTCTTTTGGTTTGGCTGGCAAGAGGAAGGTGAATAGTGCGTAGTGCAGCTGATGATGTTGAAGCAATGATTACTGGGGACCAAAGCAATTAGATTCAGTTAGATTTAATTTTCATTATTAGATTTTCTAGTATAAAAAATGTGGGTTTATTTGCATGTTTAAGGTAGTTCTAGATAACTTTATGAAGGTGTTTGAGATGTCATTTACCAGTATTATAAATAATTTTTACTTTTTTCAGTGATCCTTTGAATACCTCTTTGCCAATATCCAATACAGTACAGGAGTCCACCTACACAACCTCTGCCATCACCTCTTCCAGTCTGACCTGCTCATCCCGGAGCACTAGCCCAGTAACAACAACTTCCTCCTATGACCAGGCTTCTGTGCATAGTAGGATAGCGTACCAAAGCACCATGGTTCCGTCTGAATCAACCCCTGTTGCAGTTACGGTGAGTGAATTTCAGAAATCAGATCTTGAAAAAAGTGAAATATTCTTATCCATGTTAGGCTTGTATTATCCTGCTACGTTAATACTTCTAACCAAGCCAAGTGTATTTTTTGATTCCCAAGATAACAATGTTAATGGTTTTCACTTTTCCTATTGTGCAGCCATTTTTGGCCATACTGTATTTGGGCTCTAAGAGCCTCTGATTTTATGGGTTTTATCATTTTAAATTGCTGTTTGGCTTGCTTTCTTAGTAACACTAAACTTTCTAGTTGAGTTTTTATCCTGAAGCGTAGCTTTTAAAAAAGGAACTATCTCTGTACCTAAATAACTCATGGTATTTTGCCATAACTTGACAGTTTTTATCCAAAAGTATATTATTTATTAAATTTATATGGCATCTAGCAAATTGATCCCAAACTGTTTGTGCCCTCTCCAGCATTACTCTTCTGTTGGATTTAAACACCAGTGAGAATTAGTTTCATGTCTTATTTTAAAAAGCAGAGGGAGAGGTCTTATCTAGGATGGAGATTCAAAAGCACCTACTGTCTTTGTATATGGAATATAGGTTTGTTTTAAGAAAAATTAATTTATTAAATGTTTAAGGAACTTGTGAGAGTTTGTAAGTTTATTTACTTCTGGCCTTTGTTATGTAATGGCTCAGTCATACTTGTCTTCTGCACTAGCTCGTATGTACTGGTGAGGATCAAGCATAGACTATCCACTTCTGTACTCCAGCGTTATCCAAAAAACAACTGGTGCTTCTCAAGTCTTATCTTTCAATGGGAAAAAATTGGCGTCTCTGTGTAACTTGGATAGTTAAAATTGTGAGTTGCATTAGATCAAAAGCACAACCGTTTCCTATATGTTAATGCAATTCTTTCTTTCATATCGGTGTGAACCTGAAGTTTATGTTATATACAGTACATGGGAAGGTCTCCGGCTGATGGGTGTAGTATGGGCAGTGTATGGGATTCTGTATGTTCAGGACATCTTGCACTTGAGACAACTATTATGTGGTTTTATTAAAGGCAGTAAAAAAGTTAATTTTCTGCCATTTTTTTTGTCTTTCAGTTTAGAATGAATATAGAATTTTGCATGAAGCATGTTCGACGTGTGATTCAGTCAGAAAATGTAACATACCTCTAAAATGATTTATTCATTCATTTTTCCTTTGTTTACAGAACGGGCACAGTGGTCTTAGAACACAGGCAACTCTTGACAGTAAGTTTACAAAGCTTGATTGTGCACAGAACTTTGTGACCTTTTCTTATTACTTACTCTGTGCCCAACTGTAGCAGTGACATCTGCTTTAAGGCTTTATATTGTTCTCCCTGATTAGTTTTTGGCTGACCTGTTTGAGTTTATTTTCTACTTGCATAGGATACACTGCTTGGTTCTTGATTAAAACTGAAGTGTGAAAGCAGCCCTGTTAAATATACAAACCTAACATTCTCAGAGAAGCTTCTTTGCTGCTGCTTTTTCTTTTGAATTTAAATGAAATTATTTAATATAAAATTAAAGTGAAATATAAAATTATAAATGAATATAAAATTTGTTAGCAATTCTTTCAATTCTCATTTAGGAAGCTGCGAGTAGCATTTAGCTGTAATGAAAAAAAGTCACACTCTTTGAATGCACCTCACTGGGTATAGTGCTACTTACACCCTGTTATAAGCCTGTGAGGCATAAGGGTGACTCACAAGCTCCCTCTGCTGAGTACCGTGCTGTCTTGCAGCAGAATAACAGTAAGTGCTGGCTCTGTTACAGGTGTTACTGTTATCTTCATCTTTGCCTGTTTCTAATGTGGTATTTTATGTTTAGCACCCCTACATCTCTCTTCTTGGAGTTAAAATAAAGTTTAGTGTTTACTTTTCTGACCTTTATGTGCTGCTCTGTGGAAATTTTCAAGGGTATCAGTTTGAATTAACATCTTTTGGAATTCCAGCACTTCAATTTTAGGTCTGTCCTCCTCTTAAGCATCTCTTTGGGTAGATCATGAGGGGAGCAACCTTTTTATTTCTTTTTTTTTTTTTTTTTTTTTTTAATACTTCTAAGTAGAAAGTAGTTGAGTGTTCAGACCTGTAAACAGTGTTTTGTTAGTGCCGCATTCAATTTAAATAGGCAGGACGAATGTGTATGCCCGAAGAGCTAACGCTCAAAAGATGGTTATATATAAAAACAACTTTTCAAGTGGAAAACGTTCTTACTCTCCTGTACCGAATTAATATAAAATTTGTGAAATTCACTACAGGACTTGTCTTTCTGCTATGGAAAACAAAGATCTGAGAATTCCTAGTATTTTTGTAGTTATTCTGTAATTGCTTTTTTGTCTCCTTTTCTATGCCAGTTCTCTTTTGAGAACACTTTTTTTTTTTTTGTGTATCTCAAGCACATACGCTGGAATCAGTCTTATTCCAGGTGTCTGTTTCATGCATCCAAACAATTTTGAAATTCTCTTAACTTCTGAAAGTACTGACCTTTTCCCATCTGTATGTGCTGGTAGTATTCTTAGTTGTTCGTCTCTCACCTTTGCTGTTATCATTTAATAGTATCTCATGCTGTTAAACCTGAAGTTCAAAACATGACAGTTGTGTTATAATTCCAACCATCCTACTTGTCTCCTGGCTTTCTTTGTCTTACGCATCATGTTCAGGCATCTTGTAAGGGGTCTTAATGAAGATGTTGATTCTGTCCCTTGTGTTGAGGATCTCTACTTTTACTTCAAGAAGGGAGCCCTGCTCTAAATGTATTTAGAGCTGTAAATGTTATTTACTTATTTTTATATGAATCTTGCCAGGAGGTATCAGGTGATACAGTTGCCTCCTTCATAACTATGTTTCTGTTTATCACTTGAATTTACTTCTCTGTTGTCAGTTACCCTCATACTTATTGCCAAGGCCAAGACCTCTTGATTGCTGTTCACACAGCACCCAATCCAGCAAATGGACTTGGGTCTTTTAGTGAGGAAACCAAACCAATTATGTGAACAAACTGTGATGCGTAACTTCCAAGTGTGTATCTGACTTTTGGTGACCATTCTAAAACTCTTCACATGCATTGCACAAGTTAGTGCTGATCCACTGGACAGTGGTCTCTGGTGTGGTATGGAAGCAAGGCCCCACAGAAGGGAGGGCTCAGCTCTCTTTCTGAGTATTATTGGTGGGTGAGTGCCTCTAATTCTTTGTTATCTTTGCAGGACAAGAGAAGAGTATAGAAACATCTGGGAATTATGTTGAGCAGTAGAGTTTTAGTGTCTTACTGCACTATAGTGACCTTTTGGAAAGGCACATCTCTGATGAAAAATTTTGCTCTGTGTAGCCTATATTAAATAAATACTTTGTTTTCTAGTTCAAATTAAATAACTCAGTATTTGACAACCTGTCGTGGTTTAGGCCTGATTGACAGCCAACCACAATGCAGCACCTCTCTCTCCCTTCCCCTCCGGCAATGAGAAGGGACAGAGAGCCAGGCTTAGGGTTCAAGATAGGACTGGGATGGGGGAAAATCCCCCTTTTATGATCACGAGGAAAAGGCAGACTCGTTAGGGGAAGAAAAAAAGACATACATTTATTACAGACACTAACAGCACATAAGAGAGTGAGACAGTGAGAAGCATTGCCACATCTTGAGAACACCTTCCAGCCACCCCTCCCTTCTTCCCGGGCTCAGTTCTGTTCCCGGTATCTCTACCTCCTCCCCCAGTGGCGCAGGGGCAGGGAATGGGGGGTGCAGTCAGTGCTGCCACTTCCTTCATCTTCGGTGAGGGGAGTGTCCGAAACTTGTTACCGCCTGATCCATCGTGGTCCCCCTCTCACAGCAGCCAGTCCTCCACAAACCTTCTCCAACATGAGTTCCTCCCATGGGCCGCAGCGTTCCCCACACTGCTCCGTCATGGGTCACTAACTTTTCTCCGACTGGATTCCCTCCCACGGCTGCAGCCCTTCCCGAGCTGCTCCGGCGTGGGACTCCCCCGCGTGCTGCAATCCTCCCAGCGCTGAATTACAGCAGCGGGGCTGCCTTTTCCCACGAGACCCCCGTGCTGCTTCGGGCACAGAACCTTGATCAGCCGAGCAGGAACAACAGGCCATAAATCAATGTCTGCTCCACTGCAGATCTTCATGGGTGGCAGGGGGGGCCGCCCTGCCGTCTCCCCACAGGATACAGGGGGGTCTCTGCTCCGGCACACCTCCCCCCTCCTTTCTTCCTCCGTTCCTCCACTGACCTTGGTGTTCATGCAGCTGCAGCAACTCCTCCTCACAAGTCCGACTGCCCGTCACCACGTCCCTTCTTAAATACGTTATCGCAGAGGCGCAGCCGATTGGCTCAATTTCCCAAACAGAAGTGGAGCTGACGTGGAGCTGGGGGAGCTTTGAGAAGCTTCTCACAGGGGGCCGCCCCTATAGCCCCCTCCCCTGCCACCAAAAAACTCCACCACTCACTCAACCCAGGACACAACCTTTTAACCATTAAAAATGCTAAATGCTATGCTCAAACATGGCCTCCTGTTGTAGCTTCTTTTATTCTACTGCGTTATGCCTTTGACTGGATACTCCAAACTGATAAAGTATATGTGCCCTTGTACTGAGTGATCTCAGTCTTCATTATCAAAAGTGCTGTGTAGGTAAAGGAGCTGTAGGTAAAAGTAGATTTGTACAGTGCCTTGAAAAGTGCAGATGACTTCTGTTTGCAGAACCAAATGCAAGCAATTTTAAAATGAGGATTCATTTATGAGCAAAAGCTAGTAATCTGGAGTGAGAGGTGAAGTGCAGAAGACTGTAGTTCACTACATGTAGCAGTGACAATTATAAGTCTGTTGTAGGTGAAGAGCTTAAAGGTAAAAAATGATAGCTCTGTTACAGTTTGAATTTTCCTTAATAGCCAGATTGTTTGATTGTGTTACTGGTTCTTAATGGTCAGATTTGTGTAAACCAGGGGGAGAATACTACTGTGTTCCTGAATCCAGGCTGGGATATCAGGTGTGCTGGAATTTGCCTTTGAATGCCTCTTTTTAACTTGTTGCAGCTACTCCATCAGTTCCAGCACCTAAGACAGAGCCTTCTCCCTCACTGCCTTCTGCTGGTTCTCTGCCTAGCGTGGCATCCACTACTGCTTCGCTTCTCCCTTCAGCATCACAGCACACAGCAACGTTGCCCAGCTTGCCTCAGTCCAGTGATTTGGCCAGCAGCTCACTTTCCCAGTTAAGCAGGTACAGTAGGAGTTGTACTGAAAGCGGTTCAGTTTTGGGGAGAGGGCAAACAGGAGGGTGATTGTGTATGGGGCTGTCAGACACCAGGGTCCCCTTTTCTGACATTAACTAGAATTAGGAGAAAGATTCAGAAGAGACTAGGCTGTTTCTGACAGCGAAGTATGAGCTATGGGCTGCCTCTTAATGATAGAGCAGCTGCTGCCCTCAAGTTTTCATGGTATATGAACAACTTTGTGTTTCAATGTGCTCATAATTGAGTCATGTCAGCTGAATTCATTCCCCCAATTTGTTTTTTCTACTATGTCCACAGTGCCTGCTGTTTGTTTAGTGTCATATGTTTCAAATCATTGTTTAACAGTTTTACTTCCTGGCTAATTTTGAAATATTGTAGTTTCACTTACATTTGAATTTCTTAAAATTAAAAACCAGAAATAATTCCACAGGGGAAGTGTGTGGTTTTTATATGCTTCCTTAAGACACTTTGAAATACCAGATCAGTGTTCCTGGAAATACATTCAGCACAGCTTAGCTCACTTACACTGTCTGATTTTCTCAGTGTTGCTTAACTTGAGCTTCATCCTCAGGCAGGTGACATCCTGAAGGAATACTGGTTGGGTTATACTTTTTATAATTACCTTGGTATTATATTTGCTAATGTAAGAAACTAATCTGATGGGTTACCATTTTTTTTTTCCTTGCTTCACAGCTAGGACACGGTTGCTTCTCTAGTAATACATTAGTGTTTTATGTTGAATAAAATGGCAAATATGCCAAATAACAAGAGTTATTCCATTCACGTTAGAAACATCATCTCCCCACATTTGTTTGCAGAAAATCTGTGTACATTGGTGGAAATTTTAGTTGGAGGTTTGATGCTGTTGGGCAGGTACCAAATGCTGTGAAAAGATGATTTGTGACTTCCAAGCATGTCTGACTTGATTGTGCTAGCAGCTTTTGTTGGTCAGATGGTGAATTAAGGCTTATTAGAAGATGTGGGAGAGTGAGCGAAGGAGTGGTTTAAAACTGTATGTTGGGCTGAACTATTTTTCCTTGCTGCCTGAAGTGGTGTCATTGTAATTCCTGCAGATGCGGAACAGTTTTAAGGAACTGAAGTAAAAATAATCTATGAAACTGCTGAGATTTATTCTGGTCCCACACCTCAAAGTGCTGCCAGAAGTGTTTGCCCTTAGGGCTTATAATTTAGCCTGCAGCTTTGTTATGAAAACTGCTGTATTTTCTTGTGCCTATTTCCATAGAGAACACTAAAATATTTGTTATGGTCAGAATCTCTCTTGCTTCCAGTTTCACATGAGGGGAGGGGCTTTTTGAGAACCAAACCATACATGTTTTTATGGCTTTATTTTGTTTGCCTTTGTTCAGTGTTCATTATGTTTATTGCATACCGTATGGTAAGTTATGTTCTTGACCTCAGATGTAAGGTATAACTTTTGTCAGTGTAAATGTTTGAGAACCAGTTTCGGTCACCTTTCGGGGAGACATTTAAATGTCTTTGGGTTATAGATGACTGTTGGTGCCACTGTTACTGCCAAAAGTTTACAGGCCTGGTCAGCTATGAAAAAAAGGTGGTGCCAAAGGAGAGTTGCTTTCTAAAATGACATTACCTGCAGATGTTTTTCATCAGGGGGTTCTTTGTTTTCGTATTTTACAGTGTGTGTATAAAACTGAACTGATAGTTCTGATTCATCCGATTCATCTTTTCAAAGAGGGAATGGGTTTTGGAGGAGTGTAGTGGTATGAAACAGCCTTGATTAAAGCACCAGATTCTGTAGAAGTATGGCTAATTTTGAGGCTTTCACGGATGTTCTTCTTTTGTCCTTTTTTTTGAGCTCTGTCTTTTGAGGGTGTATTGGGGCTTTTGGCAGAGTTATGGGGCAAGTACCCTGCAGTTCTAATTGGTTGAACTAATGTCATGTAGATAAAAATGCGAGAAATACCATAGTGAGTCAAACCAAAGCACTGCCTCACCTAATAAATTAATACTGGTGCCCTGTGGCAGGCAGAAGCAGTTGCTAAGAGAAAGAATGAGAAACAAGCCATGTGTTATGTGAACCTTCTTCTGGTTTTGAACTTATGTCTCTTGGAGTCAATGCTACATAATTCCTGAAGCAACTATTGTTTTTCTGAAAATAAATTGATAAATACAAATGAATGGTGTTTTAGATGTTTTTTGTTAGTAATAGCTGTCTTTGTACTTCAATTTTTTCCATTAAAAGTTAGCAGGATATTAGTTAGTGGAAAAAAGGCCCCTAGGGGTGTTTGTATATGTCTGTGTGTATGTTTATACACACACAACCCTACAGACAATTTTTTCTTTAATATCCTACTGTGTGTATATGTGTAATTTTTATTATTTAATATCCTACTGTCTGCTCTGTGATTGTATATTTATATACGTGCATATAAACATACATCTAGATATTAAAAACAGTTATAGGAAAAAACAGTTTTATTAATTCTTTGTGATTTCTTTCTAGCTCCCTTTCCAATCATCAGAGCAGCCTCTCTCCTGCCTCAGTGTTGTCTTCAAGCACTTCATATGCAGTAAGTCCTATTTGCATTTCAACAGGTGTTTGATTTACAGTCATTTTATCTGATGATTAAGACCCTCTCCTAAAGGTCGTTGTGTCCTGGTACACTAAGAACTGAAACAAGAGCCTTATCGTGAGGAAGAAGGACTGCCAGCCCTCTAGTGGTAAAAATAGTCTTTACCACTTGTGATTTGTACTAGATCAGGAATAGCTATTGCAGAGGCTTGCCAGTCACACAAATAATGCAGAGGAAGTTTTTGTGTCAGCAAGGGGGGATTGAATTAAGAAATATTTAATTGTAACAAATGTACTACAAATAATAAAAAAATATTTAGAAGCGGCTGTCTTAAAGTGCTCCAAACTGTGGACTGTTAGCAGTCTCCACTGGAGATGTTAGCTGGCGAAATGCAGGTGATGGAATGACACAGGTCATGACAAATGCCTCATGACTGATTTTAGAGTTTACAATGTGGCATTGTTGTCATCTGTGTATTTAATGCGTTTGAGATAACGCGAATGGTAGTGAACATGGTGCTCTAGATGAGGTTGCACAAATGAAAGTCAGAGAGACATTGCCTTGTTCTGTGATGGGGTACTTCTGTACAATCCCAGCTGGAGTGTGTAGATAAGTTACTACTTTTCTTTTTGCCTGTATTTTGGTTTTTTAATGCTCCATCCCTACTGAATATGTAACTTAGACATTCACACTTGTCCAGAATCCTTCTTTTCTGTTGTCAGAGTTGTTTTGGCTTTTGTGTGTTGATGACACTATTTTACAAGTGTGATCAGCTTACAGTTAAAGGCATTGTATTATGCTGGATTCAAACCAGGAACCGCTTTATGCTTATGTGTTCCTGTAACACATCTGGTCTGCGTATCAGTTTACTACATTGACTCTGTTGTGGGGCATATTGACTCTGCTGTGTTTTAATCTCTTAAATTCCACTAGTGTATTGAGGAAATCACTGCAGCAGTGTCCTGTTTTTGAAAACAAGTACTGTCTTTTGGAAAAATACAGGAGTATATTTAACGTAATGAGTACTAGCTTAAAGGAGTATACAAGCAAAGGGCAAGAAATAATGCAATGGAGTGGCATTTGAGTTTCTGTGGTATCACTTTATGATGATATAGCTGTTTAAATTTAACTGTCATGTAATCATTTTCTCTGAAAACTTAAAGATCACAAGCATGCTACTTATTTGCTTGCTTGGTGTATAGATAATGCATATTTTTTGCATGTGCTGCTGTTACTTAAAAGATTGTTGAGGGATTTTTGATATTTTTTTTTTCCCCTCAGCATCTTCCACTGTGGTTTATTTGCTTTGTGATCTTCATTCTTTTTGTCTTCTTTCTAGCACACTAGTGTTGAGAACACAACTTCGCTTCAGCCCTCAACAACCTTTTCAACTGCTTCAACCTCAGCCACTAGCACCACCTCTTCGGTTGTCAGCATGGCAAGCAGTATGAACACTACAGACAGCCTTGGCCTGAGCGTTGCCAGTGTGTCTATACCAGCTGCTACCACACGGGCAGCTCCCTTAGTGTCTTCAGGTTCGCAATATTAACAGATAATGTGGATAGACAGAGGACTTCAGTCAGCGGGGCTGTCAGTTGAGCATCTCACCAGCCACAACTATGCTTGACTGGCATTTTCAGCATGCTTTCTTTGCTGTCTTATAAAATAAAGTTGCTGGTTTTGTATATTTGAAATATTTGTTAGGGTGTTGTGTGGCATTTATATAGCACACTACGTCCCCAAAGAGCTTTATAAATAGACACCAGGGAAGTTTTGGAAGTTTTGGACTAGGAGATTCACCCAGTTTGCATTCCAGGTTGTGATTGGCTCTTGGCTGTGAGTTCACATTAGCTCTAATGTCAGTCTTTTCTGTGACTTCAATTCATTTGACAGTATCAAAATATACTGCAGTGTCCTCATTATTATATGCCACATCCCTACTGCCACATCTAGAGAAAGGAAAAAAGGTGTCTGATGTCTGGGTCATTCCATAGCAAATAGCACTTCAGAAAAAGGGTCCACAGAGAGAGAAGGTGGGGAGGCTTCTCACACTGCAGTGGGAGCAGTGTGAAATTCTCTATTGCTTCTCTAATCAACCTGAACTGCAAAAAGGAAATCCTGTGGAGGGTACTGAATGATTTAAATATTAAGATCAAACTCTTATAGAAGGATTTCTCATTTCTTATTCCCGTACCTTGTAAATGAAGTGTCTGATGACTGGCCAAAGCACATTTTTTCCACTTTTGTGCTTCCTAGCACTGCTTCATGGAGGCAACTGAAACTTTTAATCTTCTCTTTGCTATTCTCAGCTGCAATAAGTCACTCACAAAAAGTATGCTGGCAACATTCAGTGCTTTCAAGTCTACTGCTGGCGATAATGGGGAATGTGTTGACAGAGCAGAAAATGAAAGGAGAGCATTTGCTCCCTTAGATGGAAAACAATGCCTGAATTTTGCCTTCAGGGGAGGACTGAGGAAAGAAGTTTCTGTAATTCTTGTAATCCTCTTGGTCAAAGTAAATGACAAAATCAGACTGATCTCCGATGGGACTGTTCTCAGCCTTAAATAGTCTGTGATTCCCCTTTCTTGACACACGGTTAAACCCTTGGTCTATTTTGAGCATTTTGATCAGCCAGCACAAAATTCTTCAGCGTAGTTCTGCTCTTCACAAGATATTTGCAGCCACCAGGGCTTGTGAGCTGTCTTGTCTCAATGCTGAAGCCCTTTCTTTTCTAAAGGCTTGTTAAAGTGTCTGTATTTTGACTTTACAGGCAAAGCTCCCCCAAACCTGCCCCAAGGTGTACCGCCCTTGTTGCATAACCAGTATATTGTGGGACCTGGAGGACTTCTGCCTGCCTACCCAGTAAGCAATTTAATTGTTTCTGTACTTGATTGCTTAACCCTTGGTGCAAGTGGGCCCTCCAGACCTGCTGCTGTCTATGCCAAGGCATCTCAGTTGGCACATGTTGCAACCGGAATTTTTGTTCCAAATGCTGCTGAATATATTAAATATATTCAGTGGGGGTTTAGTGTTGATAGTATACTGCAGAACTGTTGGTACAGACCTAATGTGGCTGCTGTTGAAGCTAAATATGCTTGTTACTATGGTTTTCAGTGGTATCAGGTTTTAGGCCCTTTGAGAAAAACTAGTCTCACTCAGGTTTGTTACTGGAGTAGATTTATTATAGCAATGGTTGAAATGTGGTATGTGTTCGTCTGTCACACTTTGAAAGACTACACATGGCTTTTTGATGTCTGAGCAGGATCAACATATTTTTGGTTATCTGTTTTTTGAATCAGAAACTTTAATCATATTTCTGTATCACACTAAATGTGAGGGGATATGGTAGGTTGCTTTGTGGTCCTAGTCATCAGACTTTCAGTACTGTTACTCTCAGAAGTAATGATTGCAGCAAAAGTGGTGGCTGCTCTTACTCCCAAATCTGAATGCCCTATAGATTTTTCACAAGTTGATGAATGTTGCACCTATGAAAAGAGTATTGAAGATGGGACAGTCAAACTCTCCTCAGAGGGCTGCTGTCACCAAGAAACACCGTCAGTGACAAGCTATTTTAAGCTTAGCCCTGCCAGCCTTAAAATGCTACAGTGCACCACGATGGCACAATGCAACATGTATCTGTATACCTTGAAAATACAGTGGGCCTAGGTCAAACTCTGTTTAAAGCCTGAAATTGGTCAGCGTCAGAGAAAAGTATTATAATGATGTTGTATTTTAATCTGTCTTTAAGCAGATTTATGGTTATGATGATCTCCAGATGCTTCAATCTAGGCTACCGATGGTAAGTAAATGACTTTGTTTGTTTAATTTTAAACAAGTTCATTTAATAGTGATTAAAAGCTTATCCTTATGTTCTGTATTCTGTCTGTTTAAACATCCATAAACAGTTTCTCTAGGTGGTGTAAATCGATGTAGAGGAACTGTTACGTTGTGCATTTGCCCATCTGCAAATTCTGTAAATACCAGCAAGTGTACTCTGTGCTTTTGAGTGGACAAGTTTTTACGTGTAGTAGCAACACTATGACATCTTGTCAAATCTAGGTGAAATCTGAGCGTGAATGCTTTCTTTTACCAAGAGGGAGGGTTGAACAGCAAGTTCACACACAGGCAGCCAGTAGGTGCATCTGAAAGGTTTTGGAGGTGGTCATAGCTAGAGATGTTTGCATATGCATCATGGCAACAAATGCAGGTGAGCTGCAGGAGGGAGAGTTCATTAAATTTTCTTCCTTCCCTGGATCCAGAATGTAAATGATGCGTGGTAGACACTGAGCTTTCCGACAGATTCACAAAGAGCCTCGGCTAAGATTGCAGAAGGGTAAAGAATTTTGTTTTCAGAAATCCGGGATAAGGACTTATGAGAGAAAGTTTGGTAGTATGTAACTGAGAAAAGTCATAGAATGAAGTGATGCACTGTATCGGTAGAGACAGAGCAGTGAGCAGTTATCTGGAAAAGAAGTATCACTGGATGAATGCCATAATTAAAGGAGGAAGTCAGTATCAGGTTTTCCGTATGGAGTCTGGGGGCAGCCAGAGTCAGATACTCAAAGGTGAGTACAGGGATGTCCCAGACAAAACCCTGACCAGCTGCACATCCTGGATTAAAAAAAAAAAAAAAGTTGAGTGTATTAATGACAATTTTAACTACCTGATAAAGGCCTGATCCTTGCAATAATTGCCAACTGAAATGAGTGAGATAATTTCCAGATCAGCAAAATGACAAAATATTTGCAGTTCTGGGACCAGAAGAGATGTGGTGTAGTGGGTAGACCCTGGCTGGATGCCAGGTGCCTGCCAAGTTGTTCTGCACTCCACCTCCTCAGCTGGACAAGGGAAAGAAAAAAATAGAGTGAAAGGCTTGTAGGTCAAGAAAAAGACAGGGGGAGATCATTTACCAATTACAGTCATGTAAAAAAAAAAAAAAGACCTGAGGAAACTAATACAATTTATTACCAACCAAATCGGAGTAGGATAATGAGAAATAAAAATAAATTTTAAAAACACTTGACAGCCCCTGCCCTTGAGTCTTCCTGGATTCAGTTTCACTCCTCATTTTCGTACCTCCTCCTCGCCAGCAGTGCAGGGGGATGGTGAATGGCAGCTGTGGTCAGTTCATCACACATTGTCTCTGCCACTCCTTCCTCCTCAGCGGGAGGACTCATCTCCCTCTTCCCCTGCTCCAGCACAGGGTCCCTCCCACAGCAGACAGTCCTCCACGAACTTCTCCAGTGTGGGTCCTTTCCACAGTCTGCAGCTCTTCACGAACTGCTCCAGCCTGGGTCCCTCCCACAGGGTGCAGCCCTACAGGAGCACACTGCTCCAGCCTGGGACCCTCACGGGGTCACAGCTCCTGCCAGCAAACCCGCTCCAGCATGAGCTTCTCTCTCCATGGGGCCACCGGTCCTGCCAGGAGCCTGTTCCAGCGTGGGCTTCCCAGAGGCTCACAGTCTCCTTTGCTCATCCACCTACCCTGGCATGGGGTCCTCTCTGCACTGCAGGTGGACATCTGCTCCACCATGGACCTCTGTGGGCTGCAGGGCACGGCCTGCCTCACCATGGGCTTCATGGTGCTCGCTATGGGCTTCATGTAGCGGGGCAGGTCCCCATGGCCACTGGTGTGTGAGCACAGGCAGGAGCATCCTGGGCCAGTTGTGGTGGCTGTAGGCGAGCAAGGAGCAGTCTTGGGCATCTGCTGTGTTTTCAGAGGCTTTCTGGTGTTTCTTGGGTGGGGTGGGTAGCCCTGGACTGCTGTTGCTTGTCCAAATCTCTGCATGCCTTGGTGCGTCCGCTCCTTGCCCCTTTGAGTTGCATGCACCTTGTTTACGCCACCCTGCGTGGTCCCAGGCGGTGCTGCGGCACTGCTGAATGCTTGTTTGTGAGGAGGTGGTGGTTTGGAGGTGGCTTTCATGTCTTGTCAGTGGGAGGGGGTTGGGAAGGGAGAGAGTGGGTGGTGGGAGAGAAGTGCGCGGGGCAGGCATCGTGTCCTCTGGGCACGTGTGCTCTGGAGGTCTGGCATCAGCAGGAGATGCCCGTGGGCTTGAAGGACCATTGTGGGTCCCCAGAGGGACCCGCTGTCCGGAGCCTTCGACTGGGACGTGGGGCACTGGTGGAACGGGCTGCAGGAGGGAGGCTCACCCCTGCCTGCCTGCAGAGACCCTGGTTTTGCCTGTCAGGTACACGCATGGTGAACACCTCTTTTCTTTTTCCTTTGTTTTTGCCTTTGCGAAAAGTCTTTCTTTCCAACAAGTGAATGAATAAATAAAGATGCAAATTTTTAAATTAATGGCTGGCTAAATAAATGAATAAATGAACGCACAAGCAAACAACTAAATAGAGTTTTGTGATCAATAGTCATTGGCGTAAGAGTCCCGCAGTGTCCATGGGGGCCTTCCCCTCCACCGGGGGAGGTCACAGGCTGGACGGGCTAGATCACACGGTGGGTAAGAAATACCAGCCCTCTCCCCAGACCCTCGCAGCTGTCGGTAAGCATGCAGCACCGCAGTTTCCTCCTCCTCCCTTTCCAGCGAGGCTGTGGCCCTGATGCAGGGGTGCGGGCCCTTGCCGCGGTCATGCCCGTTTCCCCGTCGGTGCGGGCTGCTGGCTGGCAGAGGTGTGAGCAGTGCTGAGCAATCCCAGCCCGGGCTGCTGCCGCCTCTGCTCGATACGCGGCTGCCAGCGCTGGGTGGGGCTGGACCTCTGGTGCAGGTGGGCTGGGTGGGGGGCAGGAGCGTCTTGGCTCGTCATTTGCCGGATCAGTGTGCCCACCTGTAGAAACCAGGCGCGAGCCTGGAGGCAGACGCGGTCCCAGGCGCAGGCGCTGTGGTTGTGGGTGCGGAGGAAGTGTTGGATGTCGCTGAAGTGTTTGCTGATGGTGAGCGGCAGGTTGCGGGGCCCTTGGGCTTGGGCGAGCGTGGCGCTGCCTGTGAGGCATTGCTCCAGGCGGTGGATGTGGTGCTGGAGGTTGTTGAGGAGGCGGTGGCGTGCGTCGTCGTCCCAGTGTTGGGGGGTGCTGGGGCTGCTGAGGGTGTGGAAGAGGTGCTGGAGGATGCGTAGGGCGGTGTCGGCGGCTTGCTGTGGGCGGTGGGTGTGGAGGAGGGTGTCGGGGAAGGCGGGCGGGTGCGGGTGGTGGCAGGGCTGTGGCGGGCTGGGAGCCACGGCCTGGAGGAGCTGGAGGCTGTCCCAGGGGAAGGTGGCGTGGCGGGGCCGCAGGCGAGGGCGGTGGCGAGAGGCGGCCGGAGGAGCAGGAGCGCCGGGGCGGCAGGGCGCAGGCGGGGCTGTGGGGCTGCGGGCGCAGGCATGGTGGGGCTGTGGGTGCCGCGTGGGGGGGTGCTGGGCAGGGGGAGGGTGCGGCGTGGTGGCGGTGCGGGTGGGCGCTGTGCTTGGAGTGCTGCCGGCCGGGCGGCTTTATGTGGTGCCGCGGGCGGCTTTGCCTTCCGGGCTTTGTGGTGGCAGCGAGTTTCCGGCTGTGGCTTTCGGTTTTGGCTGTTGGCTGCGGTGGTCTTGGGGAAGTGCGTTGTTGGAGTGGGAGATGCGAAAGCGGCGGGACAGAGCCCTCGGCGGGAGGTGTGTGAGGGTTTCCCTGTGGGCGGCAGGCAGGGCGAGCTGTGGTGGCTGTCTGGTGCAGCTGAAGTTTCCCTTCCTGCCTGCGTGTGTTTCGGGGCTGCGCTGCCCTGGCGTTGGCTGTGGTGTGTTTTCCTTTGGCTTGTGGCTGGCCTGGGTTGTCATCGTAGCTGGTCTTTCCTTTTCGCGTTGGGCAGGGTGGTGAAGTGATGTCAGTGGGGCGAGCGTGGGGAGCCCCCGGTGCAGCAGCGAGGGCCTGGGGGGGTGGCTGTGGGGGTGGGCACGTGAGTCCTGGGTGTGCTCGTGGCTGGAGCTGCCCTGGCTCCTGTGTTGGAAGCGGATGGGAGCGGGGAGGACAGGCGGGAGGGAGGGAATGGGGAGGAAGGAAGCGGAAGAAGTTTGGCTGCTGGTGGTGCTGCTGGGGCGCGGGGTCCCCAGCTGCGGTGCCGTGCGCGTGGTCCCGGAGCCGGGGCCTCCTTGTGTTTTGTCTGCCTCCTTGCCTCCTGAGGCGGCTGGAGAAGCAAGGAAGGAGGGATTGGCTGTGAGCTGGGGGATTGTAGAGCCCCGGAGGCAGGAGGAGGAGGAACGGGAGGTTGCCACGTCTGAGCGTCGTGGTTTGAGCCTCATCGGCAGCCTAACACTCCTCAGCCACTCTCTGCCCTTCATTCTGGCAATGAGAAGGGACAGATGAGCCAGGCTTGGGGTTGGAGATAGGACCGGGAGGGGCTAGATCACCCACTGTGGTCACGAGCAAAAGGCAGGCTTGTTAGGGGAAGGGAAAAAAACCATCCATTTATTAGAGACACTGACAACCCTTAACAGAGTACGGCAGTGAGAAGCACTGCCAGATCTTGAGAACGCCTTCCCCCCAAGCCTCCCTTCTTCCTGGGCTCAGCTCTGCTCCCGATATGTCTCCGTCGTCCCCCAACAGCAGAGGGGCAGGGAATGGGGGGTGCAGTCAGCGCTGCCACTTCGTCTGTCTTCGGTGGGAGGAACTTCGGGAACTCGTTCCCCCTGCTCCGTCGTGGTCCCCCTCTCACAGGAGACAGTCCTCCACAAACATGCTTTGACGTAAGTCCCTCCGAGAGGCCGCAACATTTCCCTACATGGCTCCGGCGTTGGTCACCAACTTTCTCCAACTGGAGTCCCTCCCACGGGCTACGGCCCTTCCCGAGCTGTTCCGGCGTGGGACACTCCCGCACGCTGGAGTCCTCCCAGCGCTGAACTACAACAGCGGGTCTCCCTTTTCCCACAAGACCCCAGGCTCCTTCAGGCACAGCACCTTGATCACCCAGGCGACAAACACAGGCCATCCATCAGTGCCTGCTCCACCGTAGATCTTCCTGGGTGGGAGGGGGGACCGCCCTGCCGTCGGACCACGGGATGCAGGGGGGTCTCTGCTCCGGCACACCTGCCCCCTCCTTTCTTCCTGCGTTCCTCCGCTGACCTTGGTGTTCACGCAGCTGCCGCAACTCCTCCTCGCGAGTCCGACTCCCCCTTCACCACATCCCTTCTTCAATACGTTACCGCAGAGGCGCAGCTGACTGGCTCAGTTTTGGTGCCGAGGTGGAGCTGCCTTGGAGGCGGGGGAGCTTCGAGAAGCTTCTCCCAGGGGCCTCCCCTATAGCCCCCTGCCCTATATCCCCCTCCCCTGTTACCAGAAACCCCCAGGACTCGGTCAAACCCAAGACACTGATGTTTTCGGGTGCCTTCCAGCAGCGCTGGCGGGAGTGAGGCGTCGCCGAGGTTCCTGCGGGCTTTGGGAGCCGGGGAAGGGCGTGTGGTGGTGGGAGGGCGGTGTCGGGCTGGGAGCCGTGCTCTCGTCGGTCCCCGTTGTGTTGGTGGGTGTGTTAGCGGTCCCAATGGCGAATAGACCTTATCTACACAAAGCAGATAAGCCGGCACTTCTTTATCCCAGCGCTGGGGAGCACGGGGGATAGCTCCACCAAAGGCCTGTTCACCAACAGGTACAGAGCGCAACGTATTGCTGCTCTTTTTCAGCAGAGTCATGGTTCCATAAGGTGAACAAACCTCGTAACGTTTCGTTTGCCTTCAGGAATGATAAGAATTGGCTCTAATACCTCACCTTACCTGTGTTCCTGTTCTACAGAAATCATTGGTGGTCTTTACGGATTGATGTGGATAGAATGAGGGGAGGGTAATGATGAGCATATTCATGGTGTTTCCTGGAAATCATTATCTTTATGTGGTGCCGCGGGCGGCTTTGCCTTCCGGGCTTTGTGGTGGCAGCAAGTTTCCGGCTGTGGTTTTCGGTTTTGGCTGTTGGCTGCGGTGGTCTTGGGGAAGTGCGTTGGTGGGGTGCCCCTGTGTGGCGAGTGTGTTGGCGATGTTTTGCTGTGGCTGTTCTGGGGGGATTTTAGTTTGGGGGTTCATCGTTTGCACTGCTTCTTTAGGGGATGCGGAATCTCTGGCACACGACGGGTGGCACAGTTACGTTGTTGCTGTGTGGTTTTGGTGTGGTTTTTCCTTTCTCTGCTTGGCTAGCGGTTAGGACTGTTTCGCTGAATTTCCCTTTCTGACGAAATCTCTTTTCCTTATCTAATTCTCCAGCCTTGGGTTTGCGTTTTTTACGTTGGGTACGTTTTTCGCTTTGCTTTTTATGAATAAATCCTTTCTGTTTAGATTTTTGGACATTTGTTAAATGATGTATTCTTTGGAATCTCCGAAGCTTTCTAAGTGCAGGTGGCCCTTGAGGAGGTTTCTGTGGTTGTCAGTATTTGAACGTTGAATTTTTCCTTATGAGGATGCTACAGTCTCTTTGCTACCTTTTCTTCGGTTTGATCCTCATTGTGATGGGGGTTAAGAAGTCTTTTCTAAGCTGATGCTTGTTTAACAATGAAGGAGGTGCAGCCAAAACTTCTTTTCAGATCTGAATGTATTTGGCATTTTTGCTAGTCGAGCAGTTTGTTGTGACTACACTCTCATTGTGCCACGGAGAAGAAAATACCCTCTCGAATCAGTTCTCTTTTTCAAATGTCCAGTGTTTGCCTGGTAAAATGCTTATGTCTTCCGTTACGCTCCCATACTACTGGAACTTTTCAGTTCCTCTCTTTTTTTTTCTTTTTTAGTCTTCGCTCTTTGTACAACAGTTCTTTCCATTTCTAAAGTTCTTTTCCCAAGACGAGTTTTGCTCTGGACGTCCCAAGTGCTAGCTGGTACTGAGGGTCCGTGGTGTCAGGAGGCTGCTGAGAGCCTTGTCCAGTGATGCCTTTGGATATACCTTCAGGAACGGACATCTCGCCACCTCCCCGCTGCCTCTTGTGGTGTTGTATCTGTCGCCTTCCTGGTAGAGTCAGTCATAGTGTGTTTAGTCTTCCTAGTGTGAATTGCCTGTGTTGCGGCTTGTGTCGTTCCCTGTCCTCCTCCGGTTTTCTGCCTGAGGTGGGTTTGCCTCTTCAGCCACCTCAGAGAAGACAGAGAGCAAATGAGGCTCCCCTGCCTGGTGTCACAGGGTATTTCTGTTTGGAAGGAACGTGAGGAGGTGTCGTGGTTTAGGCCTGATTGGCAGCCATCCACAACGCAGCAGCTCTGTCTCCCTTCCCCTCCAGCAATGAGAAGGGACAGAGAGCCAGGCTTGGGGTTCAAGATAGGACTGGGACGGGGGAATATCCCTTTTTTATGATCACGAGCAAAAGGCAGACTCGTTAGGGGAAGAAAAAAACCCCATACATTTATTACAGACAGTAACAACACATAACAGAGTAAGGCAGTGAGAAGCATTGCCACAGCTTGAAAACACCTTCCCCCCACCCCTCCGTTCTTCCCGGGCTCAGCTCTGCTCCCGATATCTCTACCTCCTCCCCCAGTGGCGCAGGGGCAGGGAATGGGGGGTGCAGTCAGTACTGCCACTTCCTTCATCTTCAGTGATGGGAGTGTCCAAAACTTGTTCCCCCTGATCCGTCATGGTCCCCCTCTCACAGGAGACAGTCCTCCACAAACTTTCTCCGACTTGAATTCCTCCCACGGGCCGCAGCGTTCCCCACACTGCTCCGTCATGGGTCACTAACTTCCTCCGACTGGATTCCCTCCCACGGCTGCAGCCCTTCCCGAGCTGCTCTGGCGTGGGACACCCCCGCATGCTGCAATCCTCCCAGCACTGAATTACAGCAGCGGGGCTGCCTTTTCCCATGAGACCCCGGCCTTCTTTGGGCACTGAACGTTGATCATGCGAGCAGGAGCAACAAGCCATAAATCAGTGTCTGCTCCACCGTAGTTCTTCCTGGGTGGCAGGGGGGGCTGCCCTGCCATCACCCCACAGGATACAGGGGGGTCTCTGCTCCGGCACACCTCCCCCCTCCTTCCTTCCTCCGTTCCTCCACTGACCTTGGTGTTCACGCAGCTGCAGCAACTCCTCCTCACAAGTCCCACTGCCCGTCACCACGTCCCTTCTTAAATACGTTATCGCAGAGGCGCAGCCCATTGGCTCAATTTCCCAAACAGAAGTGGAGCTGACGTGGAGCTGGGGGAGCTTCGAGAAGCTTCTCACAGGGGGACGCCCCGATAGCCCCCTCCCCTGCCACCAAAAAACTCCAGCACTCACTCAACCCAGGACAGGAGGACTGCAGTGGAAGGTGGAAGTTGCGTTTGGAGGGTTCCTGTTATGGACCTGCCTATGTTGGGTCCCCCTTGTTTCCTCGCTCTCCAGGGCACGCGTAGTGCCCGTTTGTGTTTGCACGGAGCAGTGTCCTTGCAGTGAGGTGGTGGTGGAGGGGGTGTGGCTGAGCAAGGAGAACAAGCTCTTTGTCCCATGCAGGAGCAGGTCGGATCTGCTGAACTTTTATGTTGTCCTGCTCAGACTTAGCTGGGGAGCACAGAGGACCCGGGGCGGGTATTTTTGGGGTGGTGGTTGGAGGGGAAAGCAGTAGCTGATGCTGGTGGTGTGAGGGCAGTTTCCTGTAAGGAGAGGGCTGTGCTGGTGTGGTCTGTGCTGGTTGGTTGGGAGCGTGTTGGATGGTGGTGTTTGGGGGATGTATCTTTTCATTTGCTAAGGATGTGTTGGGGTGAAAAAGGGCTGAGTGAATGAGCTCTGTGTAGCAAGGGAGGTCCCCATGGCCACTGGTGTGTGAGCACAGGCAGGAGCATCCTGGGCCAGTTGTGGTGGCTGTAGGCGAGCAAGGAGCAGTCTTGGGCATGTGCTGTGTTTTCAGAGGCTTTCTGGTGTTTCTTGGGTGGGGTGGGTAGCCCTGGACTGGTGTTGCCTGTCCAAATCTCTGCATGCCTTGGTGCGTCCGCTCCTTGCCCCTTTGAGTTGCATGCACCTTGTTTACGCCACCCTGCGTGGTCCCAGGCGGTGCTGCGGCATTGCTGAGTGCTGGTTTGTGAGGAGGTGGTGGTTTGGAGGTGGCTTTGATGTCTTGTCAGTGGGAGGGGGTTGGGAAGGGGGAGAGTGGGTGGTGGGAGAGAAGTGCGCGGGGCAGGCATCGTGTCCTCTGGGCACGTGTGCCCTGGAGGTCTGGCATCAGCAGGAGATGCCCGTGGGCTTGAAGGACCGTTGTGGGTGCCCAGAGGGACCCGCTGTCCGGAGCCTTCGACTGGGACGTGGGGCACTGGTGGAACGGGCTGCAGGAGGGAGGCTCACCCCTGCCTGCCTGCAGAGACAGAGCCTGGGTTTGCCTGTCAGGTACACGCGTGACGAACACCTCTTTTCTTTTTCCTTCGTTTTTGCTTTTGCGAAAAGTCTTTATTTGCAACGAGTGAATGAATAAATAAAGATGCAAATTTATAAATTAATGGCTGGCTAAATAAATAAATAAATTAACGCAGAAGCAAGCAACTGAATAGAGTTTTGTGATCAGTGGTCATTGGCGTAAGAGTCCCGCAGTGTCCATGGGGGCCTTCCCCTCCAGCGGGGGAGGTCACAGGCTGGACGGGCTAGCTCACACGGTGGGTAAGAAATACCAGCCCTCTCCCCAGAGCCTCGCAGCTGTCAGTAAGCATGCAGCAGCGCAGTTTCCTCGTCCTCCCTTTGCAGCGAGGCTGTGGCCCTGATGCAGGGGTGCGGGCCCTTGCCGCGGTCATGCCCGTTTCCCCGTCGGTGCGGGCTGCTGGCTGGCAGAGGTGTGAGCAGTGCTGAGCAATCCCAGCCCGGGCTGCTGCCGCCTCTGCTCGATACGCGGCTGCCAGCGCTGGGTGGGGCTGGACCTCTGGTGCAGGTGGGCTGGGTGGGGGGCAGGAGCGTCTTGGCTCGTCATTTGCCGGATCAGTGTGCCCACCTGTAGGAACCAGGCGCGAGCCTGGAGGCGGACGCGGTCCCAGGCGCAGGCGCTGTGGTTGTGGGTGCGGAGGAAGTGTTGGATGTCGCTGAAGTGTTTGCTGATGGTGAGCGGCAGGTCGCGGGGCCCTTGGGCTTGGTCGAGCGTGGCGCTGCCTGCGAGGCATTGCTCCAGGCGGTGGATGTGGTGCTGGAGGTTGTTGAGGAGGCGGTGGCGTGCGTCGTGGTCCCAGTGTTGGGGGGTGCTGGGGCTGCTGAGGGTGTGGAAGAGGTGCTGGAGGATGCGTAGGGCGGTGTGGGCGGCTTGCTGTGGGCGGTGGGTGTGGAGGAGGGTGTCGGGGAAGGCGGGCGGGTGCGGGTGGTGGCAGGGCTGTGGCGGGCTGGGAGCCACGGCCTGGAGGAGCTGGAGGCTGTCCCAGGGGAAGGTGGCGTGGCGGGGCCGCAGGTGGTGGCAGGCGAGGGCGGTGGCGAGAGGCGGCAGGAGGAGCAGGAGCGCCGGGGCGGCGGGGCGCAGGCGGGGCTGTGGGGCTGCGGGCGCAGGCATGGTGGGGCTGTGGGTGCCGCGTGGGGGGTGCTGGGCAGGAGGCGGGTGCGGCGTGGTGGCGGTGCGGGTGGGCGCTGTGCTTGGGGTGCTGCCGGCCGGGCGGCTTTATGTGGTGCCGCGGGCGGCTTTGCCTTCCGGGCTTTGTGGTGGCAGCGAGTTTCCGGCTGTGGTTTTCGGTTTTGGCTGTTGGCTGCGGTGGTCTTGGGGAAGTGCGTTGTTGGAGCGGGAGATGCGAAAGCGGCGGGACAGAGCCCTCGGCGGGAGGTGTGTGAGGGTTTCCCTGTGGGCGGCAGGCAGGGCGAGCTGTGGTGGCTGTCTGGTGCAGCTGAAGTTTCCCTTCCTGCCCGCGTGTGTTTCGGGGCTGCGCTGCCCTGGCGTTGGCTGGGGTGTGTTTTCCTTTGGCTTGTGGCTGGCCTGGGTTGTCGTCGTAGCTGGTCTTTCCTTTTGGCGTTGGGCAGGGAGGCGAAGTGATGTCAGTGGGGCGAGCGTGGGGAGCCCCCGGTGCAGCAGCGAGGGCCTGGGGGTGGCTGTGGGGGTGGGCACGTGAGTCCTGGGTGTGCTGGTGGCTGGAGCTGCCCCGGCTCCTGTGTTGGAAGCGGATGGGAGCGGGGAGGACAGGCGGGAGGGAGGGAATGGGGAGGAAGGGAGCGGAAGAAGTTTGGCTGCTGGTGGTGCTGGAGGGGCGCGGGGTCCCCAGCTGCGGTGCCGTGCGCGTGGCCCCGGAGCCGGGGCCTCCTTGAGTTTTGTCTGCCTCCTTGCCTGCTGAGTGGGGTGGAGAAGCAAGGAAGGATGGGTTGGCCGTGAGACGGGGGGGGTAGTAGAGCCCCCTAGGCAGGAGGAGGAGGAACGGGAGGTTGCCATGTCTGAGCGTCGTGGTTGGAGCCTCATCGGCATCCTAACACTCCTCAGCCACTCTCTGCCCTTCATTCTGGCAATGAGAAGGGACAGATGAGCCAGGCTTGGGGTTGGAGATAGGACCGGGAGGGGCTAGATCACCCACTGTGGTCACGAGGAAAAGGCAGGCTCGTTAGGGGAAGGGAAAAAACCCATCCATTTATTAGAGACACTAATAACCCTTAACAGAGTAGGGCAGTGAGAAGCACTGCCAGATCTTGAGAACGCCTTCCCCCCAAGCCTCCCTTCTTCCTGGGCTCAGCTCTGCTCCCCATATGTCTCCGTCGTCCCCCAACAGCAGAGGGGCAGGTAATGGGGGGTGCAGTCAGCGCTGCCACTTTGTCCGTCTTCAGTGGGTGGAGCTTCGGGAACTCATTCCCCCTGCTCCCTCGTGGTCCCCCTCTCACAGGAGACAGTCCTCCACAAACATGCTTTGACGTGAGTCCCTCCGAGAGGCCGCAACATTTCCCTACATGGCTCCGGCGTTGGTCACCAACTTTCTCCAACTGGAGTCCCTCCCACGGGCTACGGCCCTTCCCGAGCTGTTCCAGCGTGGGACACTCCCGCACGCTGGAGTCCTCCCAGCGCTGAACTACAACAGCGGGTCTCCCTTTTCCCACAAGACCCCAGGCTCCTTCAGGCACAGCACCTTGATCACCCAGGCGACAAACACAGGCCATCCATCAGTGCCTGCTCCACCGTAGATCTTCCTGGGTGGCAGGGGGGGCCGCCCTGCCGTCTCCCCACAGGATGCAGGGGGGTCTCTGCTCCGGCACACCTGCCCCCTCCTTTCTTGCTGCGTTCCTCCGCTGACCTTGGTGTTCACGCAGCTGCCGCAACTCCTCCTCGCGAGTCCGACTCCCCCTTCACCACATCCCTTCTTCAATACGTTACCGCAGAGGCGCAGCTGACTGGCTCAGTTTTGGTGCAGAGGTGGAGCTGCCTTGGAGGCGGGGGAGCTTCGAGAAGCTTCTCCCAGGGGGCCTCCCCTATAGCCCCCTCCCCTATATCCCCCTCCCCTGTTACCAGAAACCCCCAGGACTCGGTCAAACCCAAGACACTGATGTTTTCGGGTGCCTTCCAGCAGCGCTGGCGGGAGTGAGGCGTCGCCGAGGTTCCTGCGGGCTTTGGGAGCCGGGGAAGGGCGTGTGGTGGTGGGAGGGCGGTGTCGGGCTGGGAGCCGTGCTCTCGTCGGGCCCCGTTGTGTTGGTGGGTGTGTTAGCGGTCCCAATGGCGAATAGACCTTATCTACACAAAGCAGATAAGCCGGCACTTCTTTATCCCAGCGCTGGGGAGCACGGGAGATAGCTCCACCAAAGTCGTGTTCACCGGCAGGTACAGAGCGCAACGTCTTGCTGCTCTTTTTCAGCAGAGTCATGGTTCCATAAGATGAACAAACCTCGTAAAGTTTTGTTTGCCCTCAGTCATGATGACGGTTGGCTCTCAGTTACCTCACGTTACCTGTGTTCCTGTTCTACAGAAATCATTGGTCATCTTTACAGATTGATTTGGATAGAATGAGGGGAGGGTAATGATGAGCATATTTATGGTGTTTCCTGGAAATCATTATCATATGGAAATGTCTGTATCTCCTGCGTGGTTATGTTGGACGGGGGTCCTCTGGTGGTCGTCGATGCTCTTCCTTCCTCACGGTGGGCGCTGATTGAGCTCCATCCCTCTGCATGCTAATTTTGTCTTTGGCCGATGCTCCTTTCTTCTTTGGCTGGTCTTCCAAACGAAATCCAGTATGTTCTGGTACTGCTCGTTTTGACTCGAGATCCATAAGCAGTGCCCGTTGTTTTAATTCCGAGTCCCTAAAGGTTCGTAGAGTGTTGAAGGCACACGCCATACTAGCTAGCTCTTCGTAAGGGCCTTGGTGTGCTTTACGTTCTCCTAGGTGCTGTGACTCCGTTTTAAACCCAAAATGGTGTTCTAACCTAAAATGAAAAGAATATTCTAGGAGTCAGGCAGTCTTAGTAAGGTAAGTGCCGGAGGTGCTGTGCTTGGGGTGCGGGCCCGTGCGTGGGGATTTGGCGTAGCCAGGGGCCGTCAGTGCCGGCGGTGGGCTGAGGCGGGAGGGGCAGGGCCAGAGCTTGTGCGTGTTGCACTAGAAGAGTTGGTGCTGCGAGGTGTCTTGGAGCAGCGCGGCGAGAGGGTGGTCGTGCGAAATGCCTGAGGCGGGCGGAGGAGCCGAAGTGCGGGTGGCGGCAGCGATGTGTGCCGAGCGTGTCCTTCGTAGGCTGCTGGGGTGGTTTGGGCTGGGAGGGAGCTTGGAAGGTGCTGTGGTGGTGCAGCCCCCCCCGGCAGGAGCAGGGCCCCCTCGTGGAGCAGCTGGGGTCTCTGAGGGCCCCGTCCCAGCTGAGGCTGGACGTGTCTGCGGGGCTGGGGCGTGTGCCAGCTCTCTGGGCAAGGTGCGGCAGCGTTGGAGCACGCTGGTGGGAAGCGATGTCTTCCCGGTGCCCGGCGTGAGCCTGGCCTCTGTTGGTGGGAAGCCATCAGGCCTTGTGCGGTGGGGACAGGCCCTGCGGCAAAGCGTGCGCCCGCCTTCCTTGCAAGCCCCCTTGGAGCCTGGGCAGGCGGCAGGAAGGTCTCTGCGGAGCCTTCTCTTCTCCGGGCCGAAGAAGCGCGAGTCTCTCGGCCCGTGCCTCTGGCGGAGGCGTTGCAACGCTCTGATCCCGCTTGCGGCCCTGCTGGGGAGCAGCTGCGGGAGGCCCGTGTCCTCCTCGCACCGCGGAGCCCAGCTGTCCTGGCTTGGGCTGGAATAGAGTTCACGTTCCTTTTGGCAACCAGAAGATTGCCGTGCTTTGGATTGAGCACGGGGTTTGGCGTGGGAAGAGTGCTGCTAGCACGCTGCTGTTTTCAGCTGCTGCTGAGATTTGAGGGAGTCTCCGAGTCGCGGTGTCCTGCCCGTGCGCGAGTGCACAAGAAGCAGGGAGGGAGCACGGCCAGAGCCCCGGCCACAAACTGGCCAGTGAAATACTCCGTGTCGTGGAACGTCACGCTCAGTGTGGAAAGGAGGGGTGGTGGGGAAGGGGGGGGCTCTCTCTCTCGCTCCCGGGATTGCGATTGCGGGACCTTGGTGTTTGGGGGTGGCTGTCCGGGAACGGGCTGGGGATTGGTCAGCGGGCGGTGGGCGATTGCGCTGCGCGTTGCCCGTTTCTATTTTCTGTTGCTGCCGTTGTTTTCGTTTTATGACCGTTGTGAACCGGCTTCTGTGTCGATGTGCGAGCGTCCCTTTGCCCCTGCGGTTCCCTCCCCCGTTGGCAGGTGGGGGGCGAGGGTGGGCGAGCGGCATTGGGGTGGTTGGCTGCCGAGCGGTGTCCCCGCACGACAGCAGCAGGGACGGTGGAATTGACGGTGGGTGGGATGGAGATGGCGGAAGGTGGGAGATGCTGAGGAGAGCAGGGCCGAAGCGGTGGTTCCGCTGGCGCTGTCTAAAGGGCGGCAGAGGTTTTCCCGGGAGGTTGAGGGCAGCGCCTGCGCGGGGAGGTGGGCGAGAGAAGAGCGGGCGCGGGGTCTGCGGAGCCGCGTTTGGAGCCGGGCTCGCAGGAGGGTGCCCCCCGGGCAGCCCAGGAGCTGGCTGCCGTGCTGGTGAGACGAGAGGCCGCGTGGCGGTTTTTGCAAGAGGTGTTTATTTGGTGTGTAATAAATAGGGGAATAAATAGGTGGGGTCCGTTGTCGGGCCAAAGAGCAGAAGCGTTGTGAGCAGAGGAGGCGGCGTGGGAGGGTGCGGGCTGCGGGCCGTTGTCGCAGCGGGTCTTGCCGTGGGTGAGGGGAGGCGGGCGGGCAGAGGTGGGTCTGGGGCGGTGGTGCCGAAGCGGTGTTGGGGGTGCGTGGGGGCTGTCGGGGGCGGTTGGGCTAATTGGGCATGGTGCGGGTGAGGTTGTGGAGGCGCTGGAACCAGGCGCGAGCCTGGAGGCGGACGCGGTCCCAGGCGCAGGCGCTGTGGTTGTGGGTGCGGAGGAAGTGTTGGATGTCGCTGAAGTGTTTGCTGATGGTGAGCGGCAGGTCGCGGGGCCCTTGGGCTTGGTCGAGCGTGGCGCTGCCTGCGAGGCATTGCTCCAGGCGGTGGATGTGGTGCTGGAGGTTGCTGAGGAGGCGGTGGC